CGAACGAACGAACGAACGAACGCACGGACGAACGAACGAACGAACGAACGAACGAACGAACGAATGAATGAATGAATGAATGGTATGTATCGTATGTATGTATGGTATGTATGTAATGTATGTATGAAATGTAATGTAATGTAACGTGATGTAATTTAAGGTGATGTAATGTAATGTAATGTATGTATGTAATGTAATGTATTGTAATGCAATGTAATGGAATGGAATGTAATGTAATGTATGTATGGTAATGTAATGTAATGTAATGTATGTATGTATGTATGTAACGCATGTAATGCATGTAATGTATGTAATGTATGTAATGTATGTAATGTATGTAATGTATGTAATGTATGTAATGTATGTAAAGTATGTAATGTATGTTATGTATGTAATGTATGTAAAGTATGTAATGTATGCAATGTATGTAATGTATGTACTGTATGTATGTATGTAATGTAATGTAATGTAGTGTAATGTATGTATGTATCTATCTATGTATCTATGTATCTATGTATCTATGTATCTGTGTATCTATGTATGTATGTATGTATGCATGTATGTATGTAATGTAATGTAATGTAATGCAATGCAATGCAATGCAATGCAATGTAATGTAATGTAATGTAATTGTAATGTATGCATGCATGCATGGATGGATGGATGGATGTATGCATGCATGTATGTATGTATGCATGCACCTATCTATCTATCTATCTGTCTGTCTGTCTGTCTGTTTGTCTTTTTATGTGTCTATCTATCTATCTATCTATCTATTTATCTACAGTATCTATCTATCTATCTATCTATCTATGTAATGTAATGTAATGTATTGTAATGTAATGTAATGTATTGTATTGTAATGTAATGTATGTATGTATGTATCTATCATATATATACTGTTATATACACACATGTTTATGTATATATTATATATAAGTGGTATTCAAATTGACATATTATTTCCTGCTCAGACAGAACAGGTTTGAGATGCAGGGGAAGGAGCATGATTCCAAACTCGAGGCAGGAAAACAAAACCAGATGTGCGATTAGGATCATTAGGTCTTGACTTGGTTGATGAGGAATATAGCTCTGGAACTTTGAGTATCCAACCTTCCTGATCCATATTTCTTCTTGTTTCTGCCATATATTTTGCATCGTGGGTGTTACCGTTGCCCCCCCTTCTGTTGCGGGAGGCGTTCCGAGGCGACGTCAACAAACAGATGGCCCAGGGCCGGTCCAGCTTGGAGGCCGCATTTTGAGAGATTTGGTGATTTGACCATGCAATTTGTTGATAGATTTCATGAAGTTGTCGATGTATAGTACTTTGTATTTTTTCAATCATCGATTTCCGTGATTTAGGATCCTTTCAGGTCTTAACCCATTTTGACCCCAGAAGGGCTTTGTAGCGTATGGACTTTGAGGTAAAAGCGCCATACTGCCGTTGACGGAGGCAACAATGGTCTCTTTGTCGGAGCGGGTGCAATCCTTTACCAACCTGGTGAACGGCGCGACTTGGTACATCAAACGGAACCTTACCGGTAGAGTGATGTTACTGTTATCTATTTTCTTGATGAAGATGGTTATCGTCATTGTGATTTTAGTGATGAAAAAGACACCGATCAATCTTGTGGTGATTTGTGGTGACAATCATGATCTTCACAGAACTACACTGGTTGCGCAACACGGTTGCCGCCAGGGGCCATGTGACCCTTAAAGTGCCCGCATGAGGAGAAGAACAAACGCGAACATGCAAGCAAAGCTCTGGAGAATCAACTTCAGGACTCCGATTCACAGACCTGACGAGGCTTGAGACAAGTTGAGAACTCAACCCTTCATGGCTGTTGCATGATGCTGATGTGGGCTCAAGGTTTATACCAAGGTTCGTGTGCTCGTAGCTCATCCTGTATCCCATTCGATGAAAGATAATGTCAGTCATTCCAAGGGCCAAGGTCATTTTTACATATTTTCACCAGTTTCCGTTGAAAATTCAATCACAGAATGTGGAAGGTGAGTCCCACATCACGAAATCGCCCCGATTTTTTTCCGGTCACCTTCACGCCATGGCGAGCACCAAGCTAGGGCTTGGGCTTGGCCTGGCAGCCGGGGCTGGATGGTATCTGTATAGGAAGCAGCAGGCGCCCACTCTGGTGGTGGGTGGAGGCGTCATGGGCTTAAGCACTGCTACTGCACTGGCAGCCAGTGGAAGGAAGGTGATCCTGGTGGATGCGGCTCACCCCATTCGAGGCTCCTGGGGAATCACCCGCGCCAGCCATTTTCGGATGGAAGATCCAGAGTTGTTGCAAATGGGATTGTATTCCAGCAGGTACTACAAACAGCTGCAGGAGCAGTATGAAGCGGAGGCCAGAAGATCCCCAGACCTCAAAGTTGAAGATAGTCATTTCTATCATTGTACTGGAAGTGCCATGGCTGGCCCCAAAGAGCAGATTGAAAACATCGCTGTGTGTGTGAAAAAGGAGCTGGGAGATCTGCCGGAGGCACAGCATGAGTTGCTGTCAGCTAGTGAAGTGGAACAGCGTTTTCCGCAGCTGAAGTTGGATGCTGATGAGTGCTTGATCTACATGCCCATCGGTTTCACCATGCTTCCTGGATTTGTGGTTTGGCGATTTTCATTTCCCCATAGGGTAGGCCACTTGGAACATCAAGCAGGGGTATTTTCTTGGGACTATGACTATGTTTCAGAGTGTTTCACGTTTTTTGGATGGTAAGTCCAAGGTTGGTGAACAACTGTATTGCAGCTCTACAGTGGAGCGCCAGCCGGGCGGGTGCCGTGATTGTTGAGGACACGGTGGTGCACATCGACCGCAGTCGCAAGCAGCTCCGCACGGAAGGAGGTCGCAGCTTTTCGTTTTCGCGGCTGGTGATCACTGCTGGTCCCTGGACCAACCAAGTGCTCTCCAGTGCTGGGCTCTCAGGGGTTCCCATGATTGTTTCCAACGAGCAGACCGTTGAGCTTGTGCCTAAAACCGGTGCAGCCTCCTATGATTGGGACGTGTTTCCTGTCTTCACGTGGAGTGAAGCTGGCTACAAGGGCCGGGGCAAAGATGGGGGCTGCGAATACTATTACACCACGCCGCATGTCACGCATTCAGGTGTGCCGTCGTCAGGGGTAAAGATCGGTTTCCATCGGCAGGGCCCATTGCTGAACACTGAAGAGTTTCAAGTATCCGCCAGTGGCAAAGCATCCATCGATAAGATGCCCCACATCCGCAAGGAACTGAACACGGAACAGCAGTTCGAGCTAGACCCATTTGCTTTTTCAAAGGTCCAAGAATTTGTACAGAAGAAGATGCCCGGTTTGAATGCAGAGAAGCACGTCGGCTATATGAGGTGCCTCTATCAGTGTACTCCTGATCTTCATATGATTCTAGGTCGTCATCCAGAAGACCCTTCGGTTGTCTTTGCCTGTGGCTTTTCCGGCTCGGGCTTTCAGTTCGCACCTGCCATTGCTAGTGTGTTGACAGCCTTGGTAGATGACGAGGTGACAGAACAACAGCAAGTCTTTTTGAAGAAATATGACCCTGGACGCTTCCAGCTGTGAAGTTGGAGTGGAGGCGCCCTGGTGTGGCTTCAGCGCCCCAGAACTGGGTAAGCTGGCTGGTTTTGGTATCGCCCCGAAGCAGGGCTGTCGATGTGAAGTATGGTAGTGATTGGCTCCAACTTCGCAGATCACGAGACAATGGATCGAGGAGATACTATGAGATACTAGCTTTTACGGATTTTACGTGCTTCCTGGAGGGTAGAAGTCTTGCAGCCTTGCATGCATCGCCTATCCCCAAGGATTGATATCTTTGTTGTACCCCTCTATGCGTAGCTTAAGCAACCACCCAGAACAGGATGTTACAATATGTTACAGATGATTTTGTGATAGATGATATTGTATCATATCACATACTTTATTTGCACATTTCCAGCTTTTCTATTTGTTTCCATGTCTATATCTCTATGCCGCCATATTTCATGGGGGGCTTCAGCCAAGTCACAGGCATATCCAGTTGGTGGCTTCCTATAGCGGCACCCCATCCCAGTCATTCGTCCATTGTGGTATAGAAACAAGCTATGGATACCTATGACCTATGGTGACTTGGGGATTTTGCATGATTTAAAACCGCCCATGAAAGCTACAGTTGTTAGATGGATTTTTCAAGTTGCCCAGTTTTTCCCAACTTTTCCCAACTTGGATCCAGGAACTGCGCAAAGTGCTTGACCAAGAGCGCCACGAAAGGCTGCAGGAGCAGACTGTGAAATGATGGTATCATGGGGATTTAACCATCAAAATGGGAGTTAACCACCAAACTTGGGACCTTGGCGGTATATATTATTATCAACCACGGAGATTTGGCAATCAAAATTGGGTATGAAATTGTAGCCGATTGTAGTCATCAATCCTGGGAACTCAAGCTTCATAAACTTCAAACCTGTGGATATTAACCAGTAGTTGGGCGAACCAGCAATCACTGCTTGTCCAGAAAGCGGGGGTTACTTTGACATTGGAAACATGGCCATCATTTTTTGGATTTGCAGGTATCCTATTTTCAGACAGACCCACGTAAGTATTCGATACATGGGTTTGTTTGCACTTTTTTCGCAACGCCAAATCCCCTGATCTATCACGATTCTTGGGCAAACCCAGGTGAGCAGCGTTCTGGGCTGGCAAAATTCCATCATGTCGTACGACTTTGCCTGGGTTCCGTAACGTAAGCAGTGCGAAAGGTTTGACGTGAGCATTGGTCAGAAACATATTGCCGCAAGCTGTTCACAAGACCATGTCGGGCCATGAGAGCTGGGGTTCAAATAAGGTTGTGTGACTCGTGCATGCTATGAATGTTGAAGATGATGCCATTGCAAATAGAGGGAAAGCAGGCCAGAAAGAATGCCACTTTCTTCACGGTATTGTTTTATGAGATTAGAATTCGCCGTAAGCCGGGCATAATCCGTAAGCTAGCTGTAAGCGAAGGTTCCTTTGCAGGATCATTATATATGTGTCCCCAACATTGGTTCGCCGTAAGAGATGCGTAAACTAATTAATTGAAATGGTTTTGCCGTAAACAAAACCTTGGAAAATGAAAGTGAATGCAAGCTCTTACGTAAGCTTTGATTCCTGGCTAAGGAAAATGAAACAATTTTGAACACAGCTCAGGTCGATATAATCCACCCACATGATCAGATGACATACAATCGTCATATCAGCCAACAGAAACTTGGGACATGTAATATTGAAGCAACACACAATTGAGATATGAAGCAAGACATCTGAGTCCTAACTCACACACACACATGGGTATACAGCATGCATAGAAATCATGATACCTACGTGGAAGTGCATGATGTCAATTGAATGGCAGGAAGCGAGCCGCCATGTTGAGATGTTGAAGGAGTGCAAGGTCAAGTGCGAAGCGCAGCAGCGAGCCTTGGAGCACCTTGGCGAGCGGCCAACGATCCAGGGGAATGGTACCGGTGGCTTCTGGTGGCAATGGGAAATCAATGGAAATCATGTTCAACAGCAAAATCATGGAAAACCATCAATGATTCTGATATGATTCTGATAAGATTTACCAAGAAGATCCAAGAAGCGAAACATGACGAAGATGACCAAGAAGCGAACAGTGGGTGAAGCTAAGCAAAGCCGTGGGATGCCGTGCAGTTTGGTTCGCGCCCAGGGCGGCAGAGCAGCAGCGATCTGCAGATATGCAGTCGCTGAAAGTCGAGTTGGCCAGGGCTGCAAGGACCCTAAACTCGGCCATGTTTGAGAATCACAAATTGTACACGTTGTACACGTTGTACACTAGTTGTACACGTTGTACATGTGTATTGTACTCTGAATTCTGTGTCAATGTATTGTATATCTGTATATATCTGTATAATTCTGTATATACATGTGTGTATTTACTCTGTGTATTCTATATGTTATAGAGTAACTCAGTTGTTGGGCGCTGGGGACGCTAGCGCAGGGACTGGATGCACACGGCATCTGAGCGACTTGATGCCTTCAGCGCTTCTTTGGAGGTTGGGCAGCTGGTAGTAGTCATGAAGCGTGCTAACCTGGAGCTGTCAGTGGTCAGGACACAAGGAGAGAACTTCGTGGTCACGGAACCTGGGCTGACAGCTCCACCGGGTTCTTGAGAAAAAACAGGTAGGTAATGATATCCAGACTTAAACTCACGCTTGCTGGTGATTTTTTTTTGGTGAACCTTTCCAATCATTGATGGCTTATATTTGGTTTATCTCCTTTTTTAGCTACTTGCTCCCATCCCTCAAAAAAGTAAGGCGAGATGAGCAAGCAGGCCTTGAATCGGAGCCAGGAAGCATATGACTTGGCCCGGAAGATCCATGATATGGAAGAAGCTCAGTGGCAGAAAGCAACCCCAGCGGATTTTTTCGTGAAGGCCTTTGGAAAACATGATGATCATTAGGACGATTGTCCGAGGTCAAAGGCCACCAACTGGATGTCCGTTTGAGCCAGGCGGATTTTCCAGAGAATACTTGGCCGCTTTTGCTTTGGCTCAAGGGAAAATCTATGGTCTAGGGGTTGAAACACAAGGTTTTACCGTTTTTACCACCCTTCCCAGTTTTTTTGGGGTTTCCTTCAGATTAAAAGGGACAGGCCTTTTGGTTTTGAAGGGGCGCATCATGTTGGACCACATTTTTTTCAATATATTGCTCCATTGTTGGTGAATCTCCCCTTGACATGGTTTCGTCTCAAACTGGGGGATATCTCAAAATGGTATTTCTTGGAAAGTGACACTACACCACTGGATGTTGGGTGATTTTTGGGCCTTGTACCCCAAAAAAAAGCATGATTTCATCAGCAGTTTATAGCAATTATCATGGGAAAATGATGAGAACCCACTGAAGCCACTGGATAACTTGGGGTTCCAAGTTGACGGAACTCAGCTGACTGCAGACAGCGAAGAATTTCTCGGAGCGGCAGCAGTCCATCACTGAGCGCCAGGAACAGATCTGGGAGGCGCCAGGAAAAAATCTCAGCTTTGAATAGGTAAATCGTCTATAAATGGAATCTGTTCCATAGCTGTGTTAGTTTACCAGATGGTATCTGGAACAATTTCTGGAACAATTCCTGGAACAACAAAGACACAGCATTATTTTTCTTCTATTTGGAGATGTTTAGAGTCTAGAACCATGTCATTTTTGATATTCACCAATGTTTTGATCCATACCCACTCAATGGCACGGCTTTTTCACAATTGAAGAGGCAGCGAGACCATGACCAAGTTGCCAATGTGATTTGTGTTCCAGAAACATCTTGGAGGTTTGGACTAAAACTGGAGCCGTGTTTTTTTTTGCTTGTAGATGTAGAGACTTGCGGAAAAAGACTGCTGGTCTTGAACTTTTTTTTTTTAAAACTTTCGATGGCCAATGATTACCCTGATCCCTGGCAGTTGTTTGAGGGCGCCGCTTGGTTGCAACCAGGTAGTTTGGAGTCGGCAGGTTCTTTCACCGTGGATTTGCAAACTTTACTTGGATCTAGATACGATGTCACCATACGTCACCTAGCAAAAAGACTTCTTGCCATTGGCTCAGCTTTTGAAGCGTTCTTGGCTGCGAAAGTCCTCTGCGACTCCACAACTCAAGCCACAAAATTGCTCAGCAAACCACAAAGTCTTAAAGAAAGATACTGGTAGAGTCAGTCCATTTGCCAGATCCTGGTGTCCTGGTGCGTGTGTTTTCATTGAATTTCAGGGGATGATGAGTAACAAGGCCAGCTTGTCAGAACATGTTTTGGACTATATATATATATATTGTCACATATACGTATATACCGTATATTATCGTATATTTATATTATACAAGTTAAATCAGAATGCATGTCAGAACATTTTCTATATTTTCTCAGCTTGCAGCGGCACACATCTCAGCATGCATACGCCAGATGTCTCTTAGAATATTTGTCAGGTTCTATTCAACAGCAAATTTTAGAGAGGGATCATCCATTTGGGTTTCATTTTTACCAAAGGGGGTTGACGAACACACCCCAAGGTGCGCGCTGACAAACAAAGCCTGGAGATTAAGACCGAGGGACTGTCGCAGCAAGTGCAGGAGATCCGTGGCCGCCATGTTTGAGCAACGAAAAATTGGGCTTTAAGTGATTTACCCAGCAAACTTGAGGATGTGAAGAAACGTGCAACAAGCAAATTAGAAGAAACTAGAAGGGCATGAGAGTTGAAAGTAAGATGTTGTAAAAATGATGACCAGCCAATTGACAGTGTATACTTCAGGTATGACCTTTTTGGCTTCTCAGCCTCGTCACCTTTGGGGCAACACTGCGAAAGCCACCAGGACTTGAGGAGTTTGATTGCCAAGAGTGAGCAAGCTGGAGAAAAACTGGTTGAAAAGGACAGCTTGATCAGCTTGGAAATGCTGAATTCTGGTGGAACATGGTGGAACCATTTTGCCGGTGATTTTTTGCGATTTTCCTTCAATCATCGGAAAAAGAAATGAACTGGTCATTTCGGGGGACCGCAGCTTTGACTCTTATTTATATACCTTTCCATGTGGGAAATTCTTGGCCTGCTTTGATTTTGAGTGCCAACCATCACTTGCCAAAAATCCTGAATACTTGCGAAGGAAACCTCAACACTTCGGGATGAACTTGCATCCCTCCTGGCAAATGTCACAGCAGATCACAACAAGCAGAGCCTGGGCACTGAGGTTGCTCCTTTTGGACGTGGAATGTTGTTGAGTCTGTGCGGGATACTCCAAGTTGGCTCCTTCTTGAACGTTTTTTTTTCCAGATCATCCTCAGTATTTCTTGATTGCTTTGCAGAAGATCATGCTTCTGGAACACAGGATGATGTGGGGTACTTCCTCAGTGAGCGGCTACGCAGGTTTCACACAGAAAAACACATTTTTCCATTCTCAAACTGTGAATTAGCAAATTATATTCACATTTGTTTAAGAACAAGTTAGTACAGTTGATGTTAGTTAGCACCAGAAAGATCAGAAAGCTTCCTTCCAAATGCTGGTTCCCCTGGTCACTCAGACATATCACCGATGATATCTTTTGCTGAGGCCCATGCCCTGGTCACCACAAACTAGACCTAGACCAATTCTTGATGCAACACTCGCGACCAATCATTGGTGGCTGCATTCGTACACCACTCATTTTACCCTCTGGTAATTTAACATAGCTATTGAAAATGGCCAGTTATAGTGGATTTTCCCATTGAAAATGGTGATTTTCCATAGCTATGTAACAAATTACCAGAGGGTAGGTCGTTGGTGAACTGCCCTTGGTTGTTGGTGAACTCCGTGAACTCCTAGCTGTTCCTGCTGCCACATCACCTCCTTGATTCCATGGTTTTATCATCCCAAGCTGATAAGTATACCTCCAACTGGACAATCAACACATATGTGCGTATATCCATATATATATACACACATTCATGGGGTCGAAGCTTTGGTCAAACAAGCTAGTAACCTTGGCGGGAAAAGCCACAACTACTGGTAGATGCAATCATCAGAGACCGTGAAGGATTCATTTTCCAGGACATTGGACACTGGATCACTGGAGGCTAAACCCATGCCCCCACTTGCCAGTATTACTCTATTGTCATCTATTGTCAATCTCCCAATTTTGGATGGCTCAGAATTTTTCGAATCGGCCAGTTTTTCATCTCCCATTATCCCATGACTGCCATGACTATTCATTGTCAATTTTGATACATTATTTTTTTAATGGTCCATATCCCCAGCTACATGATGCTTAGATCTCTCGTGGTTCCCATCACATGGGCTGATGGTCGTCATTGACCAACTCATCTTTTTCAGGGGGTGCACCAACCAAAATCAGTTTTGTTGCTTAAAGATGTGGAGAAAACACCATTTTTTGCATAGGTTTGCTGGTTAAATCCATATTTTCGTTGGTTAAGTCTCCGTTTTTTTTTGGTTTAAACCTCCCGATGTTTGTTGATTTTTAAATGGGATCCCCACGGGGTGACAGACAGCCGAGGATCTCCGACCTGGACACCCGCTGGTCTGAACGCTTCGAACGCGAGAGTCGCTTGCGTGAGAAGATGCGGCTGGGTGAAACGAGTCGCAGGGCGAGGCTTTACAAAGGTATGGGGGGCATGAAATTAACTGATGGGGAAAGATATGTTTCACTGCACTAGAAAGATCAGTTATGGGGACAGACCTATCTCATTTATGGATATGATGGGATTTCATGGGATTTTTTCTTCTAAGTTCTTGTAACCACCAACAAAGATTGAACCAATCCCGGACCCAAAACATGCGGCAGTCCATTGGGGATGCCCTGACCAAGGCACCTCGACAAGACCTCCCACACAGCCACTTGAGAGGAATAGATGGGTACTGGTATGGGCCAAGGCATAGAAAAACGCAGAAAACCTACAGATGCTCGCAACAAGCTGCCAAAATCCGAGGATTTCAGTCTGTGACATCTTCATTCAAAGCAAGTTAGGCTCTCACCACGGTCTCTCACTGCTTTGCCTTCGACAAGTGAGGCCAGCACAAATGAGATGGAAAGCCCGGCAAGTGCGGAGCACAGTTTGGTATGTTTGGTGCTGACATGGCCAGTGATCTGTGACATGTTCATTTTCCAGGGATTCCCCGATGGGACCCCAGTGCCCACTTAAGATGTCAGCAGATCAAGGCCCCCGAGTGGAGATCGCCAAGATGCAAATATCGCCCAGAGGTTGGAAATGGAAGGGGAGGATCAGTGATGCTGGTGGTCCTGGTGCTGGTAGGCTGGTAGTGATGTCAACTTGAGTGTGCCCGTGCGTGTATACTGAGAGACTTGGGCCTCAAGCAGACAAGTCACCTAAGTCTCCGGCAGCAAAAGGGATGCCAATGATTCAATTCAATGGGCTACTGGGCTATGTGTCTCCAAAGATTGGACTCTAGGGAAGCATGCCATTCCCACGAGCACCATCTCTTGTGACATGTGCAAGAAGTCGCTTAGACGTTTTGTTCAATGCTATTCCAGTGTTCTGGGGAGTGTTCCATCATGTTCCATCATGTTCCATCATGTTCCATCTCTCTTCTGTCATTTGTCATGAGAAGATGATGATACCTCAGCTTCACGACTACTTGGCATTGGTCAAACTTTCATCCGAACGGGTAACAAGCAGGTAAGCTTGGAAAGCTCCAACAGCAGCGTCTCGCCAGGTGTGACCGTGCGACGTGTGTTGCACACTCCCAACGGTTCCTGGTCAGTGCCGTCTCTTGGCAAAATGCCTTGCGAAAGCTTTGAGAGTACATACCGAAATGATCCGAAATGTGGAGATGGGTCAAAACTTCTGATTTTCCAAGACGTCCTTTTTCCAACTGGTTGCTTGATGAAAAAGAGCCCCACAATTTTTAATAATCTGGGCAAGTTTCGTTCCAAACCGAGCCCGATGCCGACATATTTTTCCCATCTGGCTGTGGCTCAAAATGATTGAGACAGTTTCAGATCCCAAAAAAGACAGTTCATTTGCGGGTCCATCTATGTAGCCCATTTTTAGTCATCATAGCCATTCTTGTCTTTTTGTTTCACTTCCAGTTTTGTATGGTTCCTTCCCGTTGCCGGTCAACTTCACATGTTTGAATGCATAACATTATCCCGCACCAAATAAAGGTTTCTATCGTTTGGAAAATGATCCAACTGGGTGGAGGGTTTTCCAGCAAGCCATGTTGGATTCCCGGAGGGTATAAATACATCATTCTGCATCGCACTTGCGCCATGGAATTTCATAGCCTTGTTGACTACGTGACTACCTGGTTCTTGGGGAGTTTTTGACATCAACCAACATCAACCAACATCAACCGTAGCTACACTGAGATGGGAAGACTTCGTAGCGCCGAGGCCTGGCAGCCCACAAGTGGTGCGCGGCCGTGGCCAGACCGTGCCGCCACAAAACCTTCCTGGAGCCGTGCTGCTGGGTGCTCCAGGTGGTGATGGGGCAGTGGGGCCCAGTGGGGGGAGAAGAACATGGGATTCAAAATGGATTCACGTAATCCCATGTTGAATAACCTTGAATAACTATTCTGTAATTTATAATCCCAGGCAGTGAATAATCATCCAATGGTGAAATCACTATTTTCTAATATTCATTCATTCATGCATTCAATAATTGACTTCATCAACTCAGCCACCATGCACATCCGTGCACTGCCCATGTTCACATATGACAGATTATGACCTCCATTCAGGAAATTCACTAGTGCTGTAGGCAGGAACCCGCAAGTAGTTTTTTTTTTCAATATTTTTTCCTCCAGGACGCGAAATCCAAGGTTTTTAAATCGGCCTGCCATATTTTTCCATCGGATGCCCCAAACCGATATTTCTGCCAGGATCTCCTCAGATGATGAAAGCAAGTGGAACCTTGCCATGGATTTTTGTCCACCAGGTCATTGATGGATCGGCATCCACAATTTGCGATGAATTCTTGTGGATGCCCCCCAACTTGGGATTGTTTTCTGCATTGTATGGACATTTTAAACGGGACATTGATGACAAAGCATGGAATGCAATATATATAATTATATATATATATGTATATATATAGGGTTCCAACTTGTAAGATACAACCCCATTCGGGTAATACCTTTTTGGACCCACAAAGAGCTGGTCCTTTCTACGATCTGAAACCATCCATGTTTTGGCGGTTGATTGCTCATTTGATTCATCCTGGGGAAATGGAGATGGATCATTCCACTTATGGCCATAATTACATATAATACCGACTTTCATTTAATTTAAGTTTTCTTTTTGCCCGTTCTGAGGACTCTATGGTCCACTGCAATCTGTCTTGGCCTCCGGTTCACCCAGAGACATGAGGACTTCATTGTAAGGACAGCAACTGACTTTGTCCATGAAAGGCCGCAAATTGAGGAATGACTTGATATTGTTTCCTGTCTCATTGAAGTGGATCTCTCTGTTAGCATGTCTCAGCCGTGCACTGGTGATTAACCCCAGCTGCCCGCCCCTGGGAGTGATCACCATTCCAATCTCTTGTCATGTCAGTCATTCACAGGACTTCCCCGTGAGCGATCAAAGTGAGGGAATGGTGGACTGCAACTGGGCAGCCTGAGTGCAAGCTCTTCTGATCCACTGGGCCTGGTTTGCCCCATCCCAAAACTATGGGGCTGCCTAGTTGCAGTATTTTTTTAGTATAGATACTTTTCTGATCTTTTCTGATCTTTGACTTTCACTACAGTATTTTTCACTGATTTTGAAGGCGCTGTGCGGCTTAGAATCCGGACAAAGTCATCGAAGTGTGATGACCTTGGATGGTCAGCCACTGGAGCCTTGGCCGGAACAGCGAAGCTGCGATCCGGCTGGCGATGAATCTGGAGCAGATCTGGTGAGCAGATGAGCTTAGTCTGAAGATGTCGGGCCCGCTGGGCCCGCTGGGCGATGAATCTGTAGCTGGTGCGAAGAGTCGTGCTGCAGCTGCATTTGCATCGATGTTGAGTGCTAGGTCAAGAGGTTTTTCGATGTGCCCCGAATGATTGGCGTTTTGAGTCTTTTTGAAATGTCTTTTTCCAAACCAGGCTGGGATGATTGGGGCGTCAACTGACATCAACTGACCTCTTTTTGTTCGGAACGGGTTGAAACCATGAATCACTGCAGAAATGCATTGAATTTGCAATCAAAGGCTTCAATGGCTTCAATCGCACCGGAAATGTGAGGTCATTTGTACCTGCACATGAGGAGGCCCTTTGCCATTTTCAAAAAGCAGCAGGTGGCACGGTGGCACTTTCAGTTGCCAAGAATTGAGTGACTGGATGGCAGGCCATGCAGTTGCTGGTGCACTCCAACACAAAGGCATCCCACTGGCGAAACTGCTGGATGGATGATGATGATTTGGATGAGCTCTACGAGGATGTTGTGGATTCGCAGGGAAGCTCAAAGGGAAATGTGTGATCAATCTTGCTTGTTGGTCGATCTTTCTTGTGGAAATTGACAGAATATGTACTCTGTATATATATATATGATTATATATGTGTATATGCTCATATATTATATCAAATTATATCCATACATATTCCCCTTCTATGAAATTCTTGCTGTGCAGGTTTTCATCCCTTTACCTTTTGTGAAATCGCAATGCTCGGCGGCTCCAGGTTGCAACGCGCTTTGAGAGATTCCAAACTCAACCCCCGACTGCGAAGTCGCAGCTGCCTCACTGCTGGTGCCTGGAGATGAGCCAAGCATGGGCCCTCCGCAATTTTCTTGTTGCCTCAACAGAAACATGGCGAGTTAAACCATGATTTTTCGATGTTAAACAAAGAAATTCCGGGCTTCAGCCACAGGATTGCATGTTTGCACCCTAAAAAATTGGAAAAAACGCATGGAGGTTCACTGATTGATGGGCGTCCTGAGTACCTGGCACACTGTCAAGACGACTGCCAAAACGAGGTTTGGAAGGCTGTCGGAAAGTGATGCGTGAGTGTGGCAAGCCTAGTCTTGAAAACCGGTCTGGGATCACAATGGAAATATCATGGTGACTTGAACATTGCCGGGCAGTTTGACTACAGGAAATCCTTCAGGAATCGTGTTTGAAAGCACATGGAACATGGCAACTCAGATGTTCCTCCCAGCGTTCTTCTTCAGATGTTCTGGTTTTTCGTTGTTGTGATCTTAAAAGTGTCTTGTGGTGTGGGCTGCTTGGGATGGTTGGGTCACGGAAGCAGCATTTGTGCTCACAATCATAGTGGATTGGTTATATTAGTGAGGTTCTCTGCTGATGATGCTGTTGTGCACATGGTGACACATACACAATCATAATATATATATATGGATGTATATATATATATATACATCCATATATTTATATATATATGTACATATATGTACACCCACACACCGGTCACGGTCACATTTGGTGGTCACATTTGGTGGTCACATTTGGTGGTCACATTTGGTGGTCACATGATAGTCCCCGGTCACATGGTGGTCACATGGTGATGGTGTTTCTAGTGCTGGTGTCATGTTCTGTGCGATCATGGTGTCGCGATCACGGGGAAGTGTTGTTTCTTATTAGGTCATGCCAAAGATGCGAAACCTATTGGTTGGCATCATTGGTCCAGTGGACCTGTACTGTATGTTGTTATGTCTAGTGTCCTCGGACTTTCTTTGTTGTGCTAAGCATATTGTTGCATGCTTTGTATTGGATTATCAAGTTCGTGGATCACAAACTGGTCATCTTTGGATCGTGTTCTACAGTCGTATTTGGGAATTACCATGACGTTGGAATAGTAGCTGTTGTTGATGCTGTTTTGGGGTCAGCTTCATCTTTCTGCAGAATTTGCATAATGAAGGATTCCGATCTTGAAGATTATAATTAGCATTCCAAGAGGAGTTTGTGTTGCTTATGCTGCAATATATGACTATACTTTTTATTTGTACGAATATTGGTGCCAGCTTGACTGGCTAAGCTTCATGATTGATTTCATGTGCCACGAAGGCGACGATAGCTATTGCAAAGAGCTCTGGGCCGCGGCCTTAGAACATCTTCTGGGTGTCTGCGTCCATTGTGTATACCCCAAATGGCAAATGGAATAGGACAAATAAATGGGGGTGTCTGAAAGACACATTATGACGGACCATGTTTTTTTTTTCCAATTCCTTTTTCAGACGAAGCCATACAGTTATGAAGCAATCCAATAGTCGTGGCCCTGTACAGCACCGGAGGACCAAGAGGACCGCGGCCAACGCCGCCGCAAGAGAGAGGAATCGGAGGACAGGCCACAGGATTTCCTGTAAATGGGGGATCTAACCAACAGATACCAACAGAACATGGGGTATAAAAGCAACCATTATGGGGATATACTGGGACAATCTGGGACATAGCGGGAGAAGGCCATGTCGGTGACCCACCCTAAAAATAGATGATTAAGCTTTGACCTTATTGTTGTGGTTGTTGGTGGTTAAGATTTGCCCCATTCACCATCCCAAATCCCAAATATTGTTCGGTTGTCACCTTTTTGGGTTGGTTGAATCCCCATGAACAAGAATCAAAGACCTGAAGGTTGGGACATCCGGGACATCCGGGACATCCCATTGGTCAAATTGTGACTTGTGGACGTTGGGACTTTGCCACACAGGACTGCACTTCAAGTGAACCAGATGCCGAGAAAGGCAGGGTGATGCAGGGTGAAAATTCAACATAAAGTATTGCATATTGCAGTGCAAATTTTTGATGCGGGAGCGACCCCCTGCAACTTGTTGCCTGGACAGCATGAGCATGTGCTACGATGTACACGCATATGACCGCAGATGGTAGGATGATATTTCGGTTTGTCTGAAAATGGGGCATGTCATTCCAATGGCAGGTTTAAGGGTGAAAATGATGATCAAGCGACAATGCCATTGGGGTTCCCCATTTTTGAACGAACCGATCCATTTGTGTTCTGACCAGAAGGGGCCTCCTTTGACCACTTCGACTGTTTGTTCCAAAGGCTCTGACAACAAGAAACTGCGAGTGGATGTTAAGCGCGTACCTCAGAGGTTTGAGCGGATAGCTGGAGACGACTCCTACAAAACGTGATCTTTGGAAGGGGGGCTAGGTTGGAGTCTCTAAAGGCCTTGATATAATTACGTAGTCTAAAGATCAACCTCGAGGTTTATGCAAGTACCTGACATCATGCAGGTCCTGTACAAAATGTACACAACATGGACCTAAGCTAGGTACCTCCAATATAGATACTGCGTTGGTGGGAATCACAGGTGGGCTCGTATTCATTTACCAACCATTCGCCCCTCCATTCTGGCTTGGTGAAATCCCAATGTTTTGTTGGATGCATCCCCGTTTTTTTCTTGCTTCACTCCTCATGGTCAGTTGGGTAGACTTAGTAACTTTCACATTTGGTGTGGTCTGAAAATTGAGTACTGTACCCCATTCTATCCACTGTTTAATCATCACCACTATCCCAACTTGAGTGTGAGTACCAGATTTTCAGACACACTCAAGTGCCATTCTTCGATATTTGGTGAAATCCCTGTGACTTCAAGGTTAAGTTATCATATCTGAGATTTTTCACCTTAATTTGCCATATATTTGTCTGGTGAAATCCAATGATCAATGGATTGGATTAGGGGAAAATTTACAGGAAAGCCCCATATTTAATGGGAAAATCTATGGTTTCCTGTGGATTTTCCCTTAAACCAATCCATTGAAATGATTTTCAGCATTTTTGGTTGACTCATGTTGAACCCCAGAAATTTCTGGGTCAACTCATCGACGGAAAAAAGGGCGGTCTCCCCTCAGGTCTTCGTCGCCCGGATCGGTTTGACGCGCTGAGACCCATGCTCCCGGCGCGGCTTCGGAGCTCCACCTGGTCCAACGAAAAGACGTGGCTGCTGTCCGATTTTGTTGGAGATAAGGCCATTAAAAAACCATAGAAACCATAGAAAACCCATACGAAAACCATAGAAAACCATACAGAAGCTATGATTCTTGTATAGGAACATACTGTACTGTAAAATTGATATATATATATAGATCGGATATCATAGAGATATTTTATGGAATATATATCATATAACTATATAATAACTATTATATAATAACTGTTATAACTCACCCACCTGATATGAGATGATTATTGCAATTTTGTGAGGCTATCATGCAGATATCCAACCAACAAATTTCAATATGATATGGGTGTGTCTGAAAATGTAGTAATATATACCACCAAATAAGAATTTTAATTAAGAACATCAGGTGTTAAACCATTCGATTTTGGGGTAGCCAGTTTTCAATCAAACCCCGATGGTCAAATCCTCAAATATTGGTGGGTCGACTGGGTCCCTTATTCTGAGCTATAGCCATGTGTGGTGGCAATCCCAAAAATCATAAAGCATTGACTCACCAAACATGGGTCACATGGGTGGGATATTCGCCCAACTGGAGTTTGATTGTTGGGATTACCAGTTCTGCGCCTTCGCAGGAACTTTCGTTTGTTAAGCCATTTGTTTGCTCAGCTTGGAGATTTCAAGACAGCTGGGATCGCCATGATGCCATGCCTACGGTGGTGCTCAGCTCAGTGCTTTTTTTTCAAACCACCGCATTGTTGATGAATAAACCCTGATTAATTCGGGGATTAACTCGCATTAACTCGGATGAACCCCCAAAATTGATTCTTTGCAAGATGGTACCCCCATTTAACCAGCCCAGGGGTGCATTAATCCGGGGTTCACATTACTCAGTTTCATTTAGCTTGGTGGCGGCTTCCATTGCATTGCACCAGATGCACGATAGATTTGCAAGTCCGACGTGAGCTGATCATCACTTGGACTGCCCCATTGCCAGTTGCTTGTGAGGTGTTGTTGAGTGCGTACCCACAACAATAGGCCCCTATCAGATACAACTGGATGATTTCTGCCGATTCAACTGGTGGATACTTGGATTCCCCTAGTTGGAGGATGCTGGCACTGCATCATTTCTACCACTTCGTTCAGTCTTCACTTACGTTAAAAGTATCCAAAAGTGGCGGGGATATCGCAACTGTCAGTTTTGAATAGGCACAATTAAAAGGATGATCACCATGATCAACCATGAGATTTGGGGTTTCCCACTTTTTTTTCGAGAGACGCCATAATAACCCTGCTGTTTACTTGGAGTTTACTTGGATTTACACATGATTGATCTTCCCATAGTGATACTCTCGACTGTTAATCTTGGGATTGAAACCAACCAGCTATGTATCTGCTTTTTTTGGCTCAGCCGCACCCAGTGGGGCCGACCTGAACGTGCCTCGGCGAACCAGCAACGACGGTGAATAGGTTTTGATCCATAGATTTCTCTGATTTCTGGATGGTTTGCCAATGTTTACCACAGAAGTGCCTGAAAAATCTTGGGAGCCTTTGATTTGAGGCCTTTTTCTGGTGACCCACCAACTTCTCGCTGCCTGCGCTGCGAGGCTGTCGAGCATTCCTCAAGGATCTGCTACTCGGATCAAAGGTACCGGAATCGACATTTGGATCAGCGAAAGCCTAGTTGGATCTGGTTGGTTTCAGATCAACTGCTCAACTGCTTATTTTCAATTATCTGATTTTATGGGATAATCTGATTATATTGGGATAATCTGATTTTTGATAATTGGTATTTTCAAATTTCAATTATCCCAATCGGCACCGGTTGCGTGAGATTTTCCCATTGGCTGTGTGGCGACACTCTGATCCCATGGCCAATCGTCTCCCATAGGAAGTGCCCCCCCTACTTAGCCAAGTTGGTTTTGGTCCGTAGGTTAACTAGGGGTTGTTGTGGTAGATGTAAAGTTCGATGGGTATGATGGGGTTATAAACCAACTTAATCCAACTTACAACTATAGTTCGATGGGTATGATGGAGTTATAAACCAACTTAACCCAACTTACAACTATAGTTCGATGGGTATGATGGGGTTATAAACCAACTTAATCCAACTTACAACTATAGTTCGATGGGTATGATGGAGTTATAAACCAACTTAATCCAACTTACAACTATAGTTCGATGGGTATGATGGGGTTATAAACCAACTTAATCCAACTTACAACTATAGTTCGATGGGTATGATGGGGTTATAAACCAACTTAATCCAACTTACAACTATAGTTCGATGGGTATGATGGGGTTATAAACCAACTTAATCCAACTTACAAGTATAGTTCGATGGGTATGATGGAGTTATAAACCAACTTAATCCAACTTACAACTATACTTCGATGGGTATGATGGGGTTCTAAACCAACTTAATCCAACTTACAACTATAGTTCGATGGGTATGATGGGGTTATAAACCAACTTAATCCAACTTACAACTATAGTTCGATGGGTATGATGGAGTTATAAACCAACTTAATCCAACTTACAACTATAGTTCGATGGGTATGATGGAGTTATAAACCAACTTAACCCAACTTACAACTATAGTTTGATGGGTATGATGGGGTTATAAACCAACTTAATCCAACTTACAACTATAGTTTGATGGGTATGATGGAGTTATAAACCAACTTAATCCAACTTACAACTATAGTTCGATGAGTATGATGGGGTTATAAACCAACTTAATCCAACTTACAACTATAGTTCGATGGGTATGATGGAGTTATAAACCAACTTAATCCAACTTACAACTATAGTTCGATGGGTATGATGGGGTTATACACCAACTTAATCCAACTTACAACTATAGTTCGATGGGTATGATGGGGTTATAAACCAACTTAATTCAACTTACAACTACAGTTCGATGGGTATGATGGGGTTATAAACCAACTTAATCCAACTTACAACTATAGTTCGATGGGTATGATGGGGTTATAAACCAACTTAATCCAACTTACAAGTATAGTTCGATGGGTATGATGGGGTTATAAACCAACTTAATCCAACTTACAACTATAGTTCGATGGGTATGTTGGGGTTATAAACCAACATAATCCAACTTACAACTATAGTTCGATGGGTATGATGGGGTTATAAACTAACTTAATCCAACTTACAACTATAGTTCGATGGGTATGATGGGGTTATAAACCAACTTAATCCAACTTACAACTATAGTTCGATGGGTATGTTGGGGTTATAAACCAACATAATCCAACTTACAACTATAGTTCGATGGGTATGATGGGGTTATAAACCAACTTAATCCAACTTACAACTATAGTTCGATGGGTATGATGGGGTTATAAACCAACTTAATCCAACTTACAACTATAGTTCGATGGGTATGATGGGGTTATAAACCAACTTAATCCAACTTACAACTATAGTTTGATGGGTATGATGGGGTTATCAAATCTTATCAACCATCATAAATCATAAACCTACAAAAAACCCAACCAAGGTCTTCCCGCACGCCAAGGAGTGGCCAATGGCGCTGGTCTCCACATCCACGGTCTCCAAGGAGGTTCCGGTCTCTGTGGCTCGGCAGTTGGATTTAACCAGGGGGATTCTTTTTTTACCGGGCATATTTTAATCATGAAACATAGGACATAGGGATTTCGGGATGATAAGGGATATTATATGATATTATAATACATATATATATATACATACACATATCATAATAGTGAACTAGAACCAGAATAATCAGAACTTGGGTAAATTGCCCATACTGGGGGATGGTTATAACGTTATTATCATGCCCAATAATAAAGATACAGGTGGGATGACCATACCTCCTATACCACGTTTTGAACATGGCACATATGGCTTTGTCTCAAGGGGGTAGGGACAATGTTCCTGCTGTAAGCCATGAGATCGGACAGACAGACTACGACAAAACAGAAAGACAAAGATCAGAAGAGAAGTAGACCAGTGGCAAAGAAACCTTTAAAATGATTACTCAGGCAGTGAGGAGAAGAAAGAAAGCATGCAAGACACAGAGGAAGAGTCAAACAGCACGAGCCATCAGAAACCCTACAGGCACAGGCACAAAACAGACAGACAAGACTCCCAGAATCAGGCTTCCCAGCGCCGCATTTGGCAGAGGCAAAACGAGCCGAAAGAAAGGATGCAGAAATCAACCCCTATCAGCCATTCAGCCTTCAACCCCGCTTGACAGCAGAATACCTAGAATCAAAACATTCCACATGCACCCCCAATTTACCACCCGACAAGGTAGACAGGACGCATGCGGTTGACACACCACCGCCTAACTATGACACACTTTGAGTAAAACACCCAATCTGCCAAAGAATGCTTGAGATAGATCGAGGAAGAGTCTGAGTACTGTAACATAAGACTTATATAACAGAGATGAATGCGTGTGCACCACGTTCGATAGACAGAAACAACCAAAACATCTCCGCTGATGCGCAACTGTAAAAACGTGTAGACAAAACACTCTACCTAGGAACTCAGATCAACAAACGGGTGGATCCCAAGACTGCGGCATATTTACAAGCACTGGCTATACTAAAGAGGCTTGGCCTGTTCTGGAAACAGGCCCAGGTGCCAAACAAATGGAACATTCAAGTGTTCAATGCAGTCAATTCAGCCAATGCAGTGTATACGTGTTTCCAAATTCATGTGCAGCCTGGAAGCACTTCAGCCCACAGAGGCTACGGCAGCAAAATCGGACACATTTCAGTTGAAAGTATATTGATCGATCAAATGCCAACCAAGAATTATATAGTGACGTGTGAATTTTGTAATGGGTGAAGGCGCCGACGGAATCATTTGCTCATTAAGTGACAATTCTTGAAAACAAACGAAGAAAACTGTCAGGACACATTATCAGAAGACCAAGAGACCACCTACAACACCAAACAACGTTTGCGACAAGAATGCTCCCGCCACAACAAGTTGAACAAAGAAGGGTGGGACGCCGAAGAGTGGCGTGGTAATATGAAACCATGAAATATTGCTGGCTCAGAAGAAATGAACACACACACTCACCGTTTGAAATGTAGAACGGGATCACCGCGAGATAAAAACTGGAGCCTCAACGGTGAAGCGCCTTCCTGAAAGTTTTCATCACCTGAGAGCATCGTGTCGCTGTAGTGGTGCCAACACCGCTTAAAAATTGGGATATGAACCAGTGACGTCCAGTGATGTCCAGTGACGTCCAGTGACGTCCAGTGACAATGTGGATATTGCCCAGCAACAATCATCAATTGTAAGCATGGAGGATTTACTCCCCGTTTTATGGCCATAGAAATGGTTCTTTGGGGTTCCAGCTCTTGAGACAAAACCATCAGCATCATTTAACGCACCAATGAGGACTTAAACACACGAAAACACGGAAATTATATGAAATTATCATTGATAAGTTTGATAAGTGGATATACGGTAAATAGAGATATGAACTGCTGTGGTTCAATGTCTTACTGTATATTGACGCAAAAATTGGTGGATCCTTTGGTGCCGCAGTTTTGGACTTATAGCCGTAGGGGATATGATCTCCTAACGATCGTTGTGTACATGGTATAGACAGAGATTTCACCATTACACGTGTATATACCAACATGATCCAACATGGTTGCTTGATGTTGCCAAACTCATCAGTCGGGGATTAGACTTCCAGCGGTAAATATGTGGGTTTGTGATGGTTTGTGAAACAAAAAAATCGTTTGGTCAGTCTAGTCTGATCAATGCCGGTTTCCGTCGATGGTGTGGAATTTCAGGAATACCTTACGAAGGGAACTATTACTATCACCATAGAAAATTAGCCACGGAATCTGAACACCTTGGAGCGGTGCTCTTTCGAACACCTTGAAGGCTTTGATTTCCAATCGGATCAAGCACGTTGACGAAGACCTGTGATGGAGTCGCAAAGCTACACCCCCTAAATCTTCATATTAGGAACCCAACAATTCTCATATCCAATGAGAAACTTAGGATTAAATTCTTGGATGCACCCATTTTGATTTAAAAGGTGTAAAAGGTGTAGACTGTGGTCGTGCACTTTGTGCAGGTCTGTGGTCGTTTGTGCCACATGAACAAGCTGGACTCCCTGGGAAGCCTGCAGCGGGAACTGCAACAATGTCTTGGCATAGAGCAGGACATGCCAGTGGTGTGTCAAATGGCTTTGACCAAGAATGGGATATGACATTTTAGTATATTTTATAGGGAAAACCTGGTTGATCAATGCATGGGATTATTGGGGGTACCCAATTTTTGGACAAACCAGACTATGATTCGGTTTATCCACGGAGTGTCGACATGTCAGAGCCGTGTGTTACTGGACTTGTTTTTTCTTGTAGGACTTTGATGTTTGCGACAACAATGGCAGAAGGATCTTGGCAGCACGGCACAGCCTGTGCCATCTGCCCGTGTGGTGCGAATCGGGGGGCGCAACGAGTGCTTCCAAGGATTTGCACGGACCAGCAACTCGAAGATGCAATTTCAGGCCGCTCGACATCACTGGCGTGTCAAGATTGGCTCGAAATGGGGAATTGGACTGTTGCAAATCTTCAGTTGCCGCATGGATTGTCATGATTGTTGATCCCCATTCTGGATGGTACCAGTAGTACCCGCACGAGGCGGGGCGGAAGTTGCCTTAGGGTTATAATATAAGACCTTTTTCATCTATAATAGAACTTGCATGCGCCGTGCACCAGCCAGGCCCGTGCGCGCTTTGTGCGAACCTGTTGCATGGTTGTTGTCCAAGAACATGACTTGTGCGACCCTGGTGCAATGCAACGCCAAGCAAACACTTTCTTCACACTTCACACCCCGCACTTCACACTTCACACTTGCACTTCACACTCCACACTTCATCTCATCTCAAATCATGTGAGCTCTTCTAGCCTCATCTCACCTCATCTCATCTAATCCCATCTCTTCTCACATGTCATCTAGACAAGTTCGTCTCAACTGTTTTCATCTCATCCGAGCACGGGTCAACCCTTTCGAGCACGGGTCAACCTTTCTCATCTCCTCAAATGCATTTGCACACAGAAGCTTGAGACACAGATGCATTTACATAAAAAAGCCTTTACAAAATACTTTGTACTACAAGCTTGCGCAAAGCACTTCCCAGTACTACTTTGTACTACAAAGCTTGCGCGAAGTACTTCCCAGTACTACTTTGTACTACCAGCTTGCACAAAATACTTCCCAGTACTACTTTGTACTACAAAGCTTGCACAAAGCACGACCCAGTACTACTTTGCACTACAAAGTTTGCACAAAGCACTTCCCAGTACAACTTTGTACTACAAAGCTTGCTGCTTGTTTCACAAAGCATGCGCAGAGTACTTTCCAGTACTACTTTGTACTACAAAGCTTGCGCAAAGCACATCTCAGTACTACTTCGTACTACAAATTTTGCACAAAGCACTTCCCAGTACTACTTTGTCCTACAAATCTTGCACAAAGCACGTCCCAGTACTACTTTGTACTACAAAGCTTGCACAAAGCACTTCCTAGTACTACAAAAATTGCGCAAAGTACGTCCCAGGACTACTGTGTACTACAAAGCTTGCACAAAGCACTTCCCAGTACTACTTACTTTGTACTACAAAGCTTGCACAAAATACGTGCCAGTACTACTTTGTACTACAAAGCTTGTACAAAGTACTTCCCTGTACTACTTTGTACTACAAAGCTTGCACAAAGTACTTCCCAGTCCTACTTTGTACTGCAAAGTTTGCACAAGGTACTTCCCTGTACTACTTTGTACTACAAAGCTTGCACAAAGTACTCCCCAAGGCTACTTTGTACTACAAAGCTGGTGCGAAGCACTTCCCAGCGCTAGTTTGTGCTACAAAGCTTGCACAAAGTACTTCCCAGTACAACTTTGTACTACCAGCTTGCACAAAATACTTCCCAGTACTACTTTGTACTACAAAGCTTGAGCAAAGCACGACCCAGTACTACTTTGCACTACAAAATTTGCTCAAAGCACTTCCGAGTCCTACTTTGTACTGCAAAGCTTGCACAAAGTACTTCCCTGTACTACTTTGTCCTACAAAGCTTCGACAAAGTACTCCCCAATGCTACTTTGTACTACAAATCTTGCACTTTGTTCTACAAAGCTTGCGCAAAGTACTTCCCAGTACTACTTTGTACTACAAAGCTTGCGCAAAGTACGTCCCAGTACTACTGTGTACTACAAAGCTTGCACAAAGCACTTCCCAGTACTACTTACTTTGTACTACAAAGCTTGCACAAAGTACTTCCTGGTACTACTTTGTACTACAAAGCTTGCACAAAGTACTTCCCAGTACTACTTTGTACTAAAACTCATGTCCCAGTCTGTACTTTGTACTACAAAGCTTGCGCGATGTACTTCCCAGTACTACTTTGTACTACAAAGCTTGCACAAAGTACTTCCCAGTACTACTTTGTACTACAAAGCTTGCGCAAAGTACTTCCCAGTACTACTTTGTACTACAAAGCTTGCACAAAGTACTTCCCTGTACTACTTTGCACTACAAAGCTTGCACAAAGTACTTCCCAGTACTACTTTGCACTACAAAGCTTGCACTTTGTTCTACAAAGCTTGCACAGAGTACTTCCCAGTACTACTTTGTACTACAAAGCTTGCACAAAGTACTTCCCAGTACTACTTTGTACTACAAAAATTGCAAAAATCATGTCCCAGTCTGTACTTTGTACTACAAAGCTTGCGCGAAGTACTTCCCAGTACTACTTTGTACTACAAAGCTGGCACGAAGCACTTCCCAGTACTACTTTGTACTGCAAAGCTGGCACAAAGTACTTCCCAGAATTACTTTGTACTACAAAGCTGGCACGAAGCACTTCCCAGTACTACTTTGTACTACAAAGCTTGCACAAAGCACTTCCCAGTACTACTTTGTACTACAAAGCTTGCGCAAAGTACTTCCCAGTACTACTTTGTACTACAAAGCTTGCACAAAGTACTTCCCAGTACAACTTTGTACTACAAAGCTTGCACAAAGTACTTCCCAGTACTACTTTGTACTACAAAGCTTGCGCAAAGTACTTCCCAGTACTACTTTGTACTACAAAGCTTGCGCAAAGTACTTCGCACTACTACTTTGTACTACAAAGCTTGCACAAAGTACTTTCCTGTACTACTCTGCGCTACAAAGCTTGCACAAAGTACTTCCCAGTATTACTTTGCATTACAAAGCTAGCCCCAAATTCGTGCCAGTACTACTTGGTACTTCAATGCGGCGTTTACTCTTGGACCAAAACAGTACGAAACCGATGCAACATGCATGCAGCCTGTACAATGCGATTCGCATCCCCGCGTTGCAGAGTATTTTGATGTGATGCACTGTGATGCAGAGTATTGTGATGTGATGTATTGTTATGTGATGTATTGTTTTTTTTTTTTTTTATGTGATGTATTGTTACTGCACTACACTTCAAGCGTAACTCGGATGATTGCTTCCCAACTTCCTTTGACAAACATGTACAAAAACATCTAAAAACGACAAACTTTGAAAACCGTTTGGCACCTCGATTTTGTGCCATACCAATACTTACTGTAATGGTTTTGCTGCGACAAATTCAACGTGGCATCTTTAGGTTGCTGAAATCATGGCAGCCCAGACTCTTTCAAAGCCATCAACAAATACCCCTGGTTGAGTTGTTTCTATAGGGGGGTTATTGACCTATCATGGTTTATTAGGGATTTTCATTCCCCATAACAGGGATACGTACCAACCCAACCCAACCCAGACTGTCAAGTGCTTGCGCTGTTCAGGCCAGCGTCTGCCTTTACAAGCTAGCCTCTCTGATGCTTCAGTCCATCTCATCGAAAATCGACGTGAAGAGCTGGCACAAATGCAATGGAAGGCTCGCAAGAGTGCATTTCTTGGGTGATGTAGGAACCCTGTTCTTTTGCCTGTAAGGCACTGGATGCATAAACCAATCATTTCATGAATCTAGTATGAAGATGGACAGAAGAAGGAAAAGTGTCAATCAACTTAGTTCAGCGAGAAAAAACATGCGTTTGTAAATGGTGATGCTTTGGGCCTTGTTTATCCATACAATTTCTTCATTCAATCAACTTAGAGAGACGCACCGCCAATAGTAGGAAACCATCGTGCAGTGATCCCAACGAACTTTGGGAATATTTGAAAAAGAAACCTTGGATCATGAGGCAACCGATTCTATATTTTGCTCCCTTACGTCTTTGAACGCTGGATTTCTGTTTAGATCATGGTTTAGACCTTGTCCACTATAACTATACACTTCTGAACTTTGCTTTGGATCCGATACTGGGAAACCTGGCTGTGTTTTCAATAAACCTGTTGACTGACCGTCTGGATGTTTGAGATGATTGAAATGGGAGTTCACGGTGGTTTTATATTTTTTGATGATTCAGGTTCGTCGAAAATAGAGTACCTCAACATCCTATGATTTGAAAATTTCCTTTCCCATAAAGTGGCCAGCTTGGATCATTTTAGGGTCTCCGCAATTGTGGGACACGCATCCACAACATTGTTGGTCATACCACCATTTATAGTTTTAGTTTTAATGGTCAATATCCCCCACCCTGATGGTCAGATCATTATCTCCCATTTTGTTGGTTCATATCCCCATCTTCTGTCCCTAGAATTTTGACGTACATTCCGTACATTCCCATAAATTTTGCAAACATCTCGGAATTTCCCATGATTTTCCCATCCAAAAAGCTGCAAAAGCTGTGCAGGTCATGAGGGACAAGATGCAATCCTTCAGCTTAGATGTGGCACAGCTTACGAAGCAAATCTCGGATCTGCAGCAACAGTGCCTGGGGCTGTTGGGATCAAGCCAGCCACAAGTACCCCAAAGGTTGGTGGATTTGATGGTTTTTCATGCTTTTAGCTGATGTTTTGGGAAGAGAACGGAGGTGGGTTGGTCAAGAGTTTTGGATACTTCGGATCCAAACTTGCAAAAAATGGTTTAGAGATGTTCCGAGGACATTTCTGGGGCTCAGCCGGGCTCAGCTGCAGCTGCCTCAATTTTCAATGCAGTCTCTCTGCCTCCATGAACTGAGGTTAGAGGTCCAAGGAAAAGAGCATGACCGGAAGTTGGAGGTGAAATCTGCAGCTTCCAGAGAGCTGAGTTAAGAGCATTTCTCACGGGATCAGTGATCAGTTCGATACGCAGATGGGCATTTGGGTATGGGTGAAAATCTTTGATCCTGTTCTATGCGGAACAAACATGACTTCAAATCACAAGTGCAATTTTGGTTCTCGTTGGTGTGAATAGATCCCAGTATGTCCCTGTGCTGTGTCCGGTTGAAGAGTGGCACCCACGCACAGCGGCTGGCGAATTGGTGAATGGGTACCTATGGGACTCTTTGTTAGATTCATAACTACCAGCCTTTTAGCTCCAGTACTCTTGTACCTAGCAATTGCTGATCCCCAAAACCGAGCCATTTTCAGGGGTGGCTCAACCATCAATCAGTTTTTGTCGCTCAAAAAGCCAATGAAGTCATATTTTTTTCTTGGTTAGACATGGTGGAACCACCGTTTTTGTTGGTGAACCCACCCTTTTTGTTGATTTCCCCATGGGAAAATCACCTACCGTCTAGGCTTTACGTGGAGCAATTGGCAACCAGTTGCTTGAAGACCGTTCGAACATGGAGGCCGCCTGTGACGGGTGACCGTGTTCCAGCCATGGGGGGGGATTACCGAAAATGCAGATATGATCAACCAATGTCAACTAAACATGGGGGCAGATCAAGAATCATTTCTTGCGCGGGTGGTTTCGTTGTTACTTGTGGTCCTTCCAGCGCAACATCTTCGGGATGACGATCCCGATTGACAAGCGCATGTTTTGGCTGGTTTGAACCCACCAACCAATTTTTTTTGTTTAATCGCCTTGAAACGCCAGGGCCCGGCCCGTCTCCCGCTCTTGGACCAACCAAGTGTGAGATCAATGCTACCCTTGTAGGAGCATTGTGACCATTTTTTGCGGGTCAATTTTTCCGATGTTGTTGGATTGCTTATTGGCTTGTCTCCATCATTGAAAATGGGGGTGGGTCAAACACTACAGATTTTAGATGAATTTGGTATACGTTTAGCAGTAACCATCAGTAACCATCAGTAACCATCAGTAACCATCAGTAACCATCAGTAACCATCAGTAACCATCAGTAACCATTTAATGATTGGGGTACCCAATTTTGACCTATACCGCATATAGGATGATGGCTAAAGTTTGCGCCAGCGAGGCCACTGTGATCTCCTTGTCGGAGCGGGTGCAGTCCTTCACTACTCTGGTGAATGGTGCGACTTGCCAACAAAAAGATGACTTGGGATGACTTGGGATGATTTGGGATGACTTGGGATGATTTGGGATGATTTGGGACGACTTTGCCGGCGATGATGATGATGATGATGATGATGATGATGTTAAACGACATAACATGTTGTTGTTGTTGTTGTTGTTGTTTGTTGTAGTAAAGAAGAGCATGCTCTCCAAGGAGCAGAACAAGCGCGAGCACGCTAGCAAAGCTCTCGAGAATCAACTTCAGGACGACTCAGCCGCCAGACGACTTTGCCGGCCAAAGCCGGCTTTGCCCCTTCAAGCGCCAACTCATTGGGTAAAGAAAATCTAAGGAATGAAGGATGGATAGGTAGATAGATAAGATGGATGGATAGATAGATAGATTAGATTAGATTAGAATTAGATTTCGAACTAGAATTAGATAAGATAAGATAAGATAGATAGAAAGAAAGAAATATAGAAATAAAGATAGATAGATAGATAGATAGACCGATCGATAGATCGATAGATAGATAGATAGATAGATAGGATAGATAAAATAATATCAGATCAGATCAGATAAGATAGAATAGAATAGAATAGAATGATAGATAGATAGATAGATAAGATAGATAGATAGATAGATAGATAGATAGATAGATAGATAGATAGATAGATAGGTAGGATAGATAGGATAGATAGGATAGATAGGATAGATAGGATAGATAGATAGATAGATAGATAGATAGATAGATAGGATAGATAGGATAGATAGGATAGATAGGATAGATAGGATAGATAGGATAAGATGAGATAAGGTAAGATAAGATGAGATGAGATAAGATAGATAGATAGATAGATAGATAGATAGGATAGATAGGATAGATAGGATAGATAGGATAGATAGGATAGATAGGATAGATAAGATAAGATGAGATAAGGTAAGATAAGATGAGATGAGATAAGATAGATAGATAGATAGGTAGGTAGGTAGGTAGGTAGGTAGATATATAATTAAGATGGATGAGAGAAGATAAGATAAGATAGAAATACATATAGAAATATAGATAGATAGATCGATAGATAGATAGATAGCTAGGTAGGTAGGTAGGTAGATAGATCGATCGATAGATAGATAGACAGACCGATCGATAGATCGATAGATAGATCGATAGATAGATAGGATAGATAAAACAAGATCAGATCAGATCAGATAAGATAGAATAGAATAGAATAGAATTGAATAGGATAGATAGATAGATAGATAGATATATTTATATGGATATTGATATGGACAGCAAGCTGGGGATCCCACAAAAACAAAACAAACGCAGCTGTTAGGGCGTCACGAACAATCGACCATCGGCCGCCGCTCCACCATCGGCCGCGCGATAGGACCTGCGCCGAGTGTTGGACCAAGAGCGCCACGAGCGGATCCAGGAGAGGATGTGATGAAACTGTGATGTTTGAAACTTGGGAACCCCCATTTACTTCGATGATGTTCCCATTTACATGCCCACTTGTGGATGGGAATTTCCCAGGCATTCATGTTTGATGGCACCGGAGGAATTTGTCATTTTCGCACGCAAACATGGTGGAAGAACTTGCCACGTGTGCGCACTGCTGGATGTTTGCGAAGGAGGCTAAACTGCAGGACGACACCTTGAAGCAATGCAGGGTAATGTGTGAAGCACAGAAGCATGCACTTGAGTGACTTGGCTGACATGACATTGCTTGAACAAGCTGCCTTGTTTCGATTTCGCAGGTTTGAGTAAACTCAGGTAAGCTGACATGGACACGGCAAAACATCCGGAATCCTGGCATTTGTAAATGATTTGTATTGACATATCTGATGCTTTGACTAAAGAGTTTTCTGATTCCCTGCTCAGGCTCAAACTACCTGAAAATGGCCCGGAATTGTGTTGTCTGGATGACATGTGAGCAGGGGCCAAACCACAAACAACTTTTACTTTTGTTGTGGTTCATGCTATCAATTCATCATTATGGATTGTGGACATGCCAATGAAGTCACCCAAAAAATCCTCCATGACCCGGGTTTCTGACTTGGTTTCTCAGCTTCATAGGTTTCATTAGGCCCACAATCACCATGCTACCGCAGTGATAGCAACGAAAAATTGGCAGGTCGACTGAGCAGCAGCGTCTTTCAGATCTTCAATCTCTGAAGGTGGAACTCGGTCGCGAGACGAGGCTCTCATGGGAACTGGAACTGTTCCATGACAGACCCATCAAGTGGTGAAATCCCAGGGCTTTCTGGTACCCTCTGGTAAACTAACATAACTATGGAAAATCACCATGTTTAATGGGAAAATCCACTATAAATGGCCATTTTCAATAGCTATGTTAGTTTACCAGAGGGTAGATTCCAAAGAAACCCTTCTGTTGTGAAATGAATCAGCAAGCAAATCGGCCATGTCAGCGATGCAGGGACTGGTCGAATACGGCATCGCAGCCACTCAGCTTGCGTTCATTTTCAAGCATTTGGTGGAGTGTCGGACCGTGGCTTAAACATTGGGTCGACCAGAGAATTTCAACACCGAGTTAAATCACTTCATCGAAAGACTGCATGGATCCAAACCATACATTTTGTTTCCAGTTTTTTGGATTATGTAGGCACTGCCTCCACTAAAAGTCGTGAACTTTTTGTAGCGGATCCATACGCCACCAAGATTTCGGCTTCAAATGGCACGTGCCGCACGTGCTAGGAAGCTAGATTCCTTCAAAGCATCCCTGGAGGCCAGGGAGAATTTGCGGTGGGCATTTGGAGATTTAGGGATTCCAACCAAAAGTAAACATCGGGAAATTTACTGAGCAGAAGCGTGCTCAGTAATTCTTGTGGGCCCCCAAGTTTTGGAGCTGAGCGGACTTTGCTGCTGTCATGTGCAGGAAGTAAGCACGCAGCTTCGTCTTCAAAGAACCTCAGCATGCAAAGCATTGCCTTGGAACCGAAAAGAAGTGGCTTCTGGTTGCCATTTGTTCCTTTCTTAATACCATTCCTAGTTACAAGATGTTACAAGTAAGTATAGTAAGTTGCAGTTGATTCTTGTGGATTCATGTAGATAGTTGAGAGACAATGCAGAATCCATCCCCAGATCATCCCAGACTCGTTTCGTTTGTTCCCTGCGCGTTCATCGAGGTGAAACGAGCAAGCAAGCAATGGAGAGAAGTCAAGAAGCTTATGATTTTGCGAGGAAAATCAATGACATCGAGGTCCTTCAGCCGCAATTCTTCAAAAAACCTTGGGTTTTTACAAGCTCCCTGGTGCATTCTTCAAACCTTGAGATTGTTTGCAAGACATCGACCTTCCGAATCACCACTTGAGCGACTGCTGCCCAAGGTCAAATGCCAGCAACTGGATGTGCGCTTGAGCCAGGCGCCGTTGTCATTCCAGCAACCACTGTGAGTCAAACATTGCAACGGGAAGTTCCCATGAATTTTCTTGGTTGAATCATGTTAAACCACCGATACATCTTGTTTCACAAGTCCCAATTCGCTGCTTCGCCCAGACTTCCACGAAATTCTCTGAGCGCCAGCAGTCGATCACTGAACGCCAAGACCAGGTGTGGGAGGCGCCTTCCAGGGTGGATCGCCATGTTTGCCTAAATATGACAGCAGGTTTAATAGCTATCCAGCCATAAATAATATCGACTCCGATTCATGACGCATTTGCATACACATTTATAAGATTTTATAAGATTTTATAAGTAGGCGATGAATCATAGGATTGCGATCCGATTGTAGGAATCACACCCTGCTCCCGGATTTATGCTGGGATCGTAGCCCCCCTTAGCCACTGTTGATACCTGGCTTCCACCCGTGCAATTTGATGGCCCCAGTAAGATCTTTTCCTCTTTGTATACAGATTATACAATATTATACAGTAGAATCCTAAAGTATCCTAAATCAACAGATCACTAAGTCAGGCTTTCTGTGGGTTTCCCGTGTGCTAACGCAATTTTTTTTACTGTTGCATTCCCCTTTTCCCACTGGGGTTATTAGGGTCTCCTCCTGCCACTTCTGTCGCAGTTGTTCGAAGGCGCCACTGAGCTGCAAAATATTTTTTTTGTTTTGGATTAGACCATCCAGACCATCCAGGCTGGATTTGTTTGAAGCTTGGGCACCCCTAAATTATCTAAATTCACGGATTGATCATGATTTTCGCTCAGATGGCTTTTTTGGGGTATACAAGAGTGTACCCATGTCGTTTTTGCATGTTTTTGCGAGGCCAAGATTTTTTGAGCCATACCCAAATGGGTGGAAGGAGATCTCAAAACAGACGTTCTGACGTGAGATCTGTGGGTCGTGTGGGTCTCTGGCCTTTACCAAGGTTCGAGCCGATAAGCAAAGCCTCGAGGTGAAATCCGATGGCATTTCCCAACAGGTTCAGGAGACCTTTGTCATGCTGAGATTCTTGGTGAGTAGCTGGGTGTTTTTCTTTGCAGCTTGGAAGATGTGAGGGTGAAGACTGTCACCTCACTCCCAGGATATCCCATGAAGAGAAGACACCCCAATTTTCAATGGCAAAAACCAGAGTTTCCTGTCAATTTACCTGCAAACCAATCCCATGAACTCGATGATTGGAGATGTCCCATATGTCCCTAGGGCTCTCCTGCAGGACTTATCGCACTCGATTTCGAAGTTTGAGGAAGGTTCAGCCAAGTTGATCGCCAAGGACGGCCATGGCCAATTGGTTTGAACAGTGGGTGTCTGAAAATGGGGGGATATAACATGATATAACATGATATAACATGATATAACATGATATAACATGATATAACATGATATAACGATAACACCAAGACTGTATATATGATTTGTGGAAATTTGGGTTTGTTTGAAACTCGGGGATATACCACCCATTTATGGTCATAGCCTAGCTGAATGGGGAAATATGATGAAGCAGCAAATTTGGGCTTCTGCAATTTAGCCTGGGGGTCCTTCAGGGACTTTTGATCGTTGGGCCTTTGGGAACCACGCATGCGAAAAAGTTATGGCTGGTGGACCAGTTGCATTGAACATGTGTTTTGGAAATCCAATCAGGGTAATCCATTCCCCCATTGGAGACAGATGCCGCTGGACCAGACGGTCATTGCAGGAAGTGCAAGCACTGAGAGATGAGTTGGTAGCCAGCCAAAACAATCTTAGTGCAGATCACACCAAGCAGAGCCTTGCCAGTGTCAAGTTGCCTTGTGGAAAACTATTGGCCAGCACCCCATGGGAGCACTAAAAAGATATGGGTTCGGAAGCCGATGCGGCTGTGTCTCAAATTTGTTTTGCCCTTACCGAAAAAAAAGACCATATATTCCATCCGCGGCTCCATTGAAATGACGGGCCCTTACATGTTGAACATGGAATTGAAACCCCTCTTTCAAATCACGACGATAGGCAAACTGCCAAACTGCCAGATGAGTAGTCACACCCGCATCGTCCCCCATCCATATCAAGCAATTGGACCTCAAGAATAGGAGATTGTAAGTTGGACAAACAAATCACGGAACATCTGCAGGAAATATGTGCCATGGCCAAAACTTGGATAAGTCGCCCATATTGGGAGATGATGGGAGATGGTCATCAATCCATTAGTAGGGATTCATATACCATATACCCATTAAGTTTGGATTTCCATTCCATAGCGCGTAGTAAGCATTTTCCTGTGTGTTGCCATATTTTTGAACATATTTTCGCATATGTTTACTGTTTGTACCATATTTTCCTATCTTTTCCCATCCACAGCTATGGGCTTTCCAGGCCCCAGCTTCCCAGGATCTCCGACCTGGAATCCCGCTGTTCCGAACGATTCGAACGTGAGAGCCGGCTGCGGGAGAGGATGAAGCCTGGCACCAGGGAGTTACAGGGGAAAAGGAAACGGGGGATTGACCCCTACAATATCATATATATATAAAATATTTAATAGGAATTGATATTGGGGTGTCTCTGAAAATGGGCATACCCGCAAAATGGCAATTTCATGGGAAATATTGATGATAAATTGTGATTTTTGGGGAACTTTATTTTCAGACAAAACCATCTGGTAAACCCAGAAAGAATCATAAACCTCCGATACTGTATAGCTAGGATGGATAACAAAAGCACAAATATCTGGTAAACTTGTGGATGGTTGATGAATTTGGGTCCACATTAGCCCCATATATTTCAGTTCAATTCCAATTTCACGGAGGATTCCGCCAAGAAACAAAGCAGCAACGAATGGTTTGTCGTATTCTGTTTCAAAGGCTGCTGTGCCCAGCCAATGACTCAGTTTGGACCTTGTGAAGCCGTGCAAATAACTTTCGTGGTACTGTCCGCTGACGTACCGGCGCAGGAATACATGGCAGAACATGGCAGTGCAGATGGGGTGAAACAGATACCTTTAACCTTTGATATCTTTGATATCTTTGATTTGAATGGGGGCTTATTCAACCCCGTTGTGGGGTTACCGGGGGTATCCTGGAAAATCACCTCCGGCCTGAGGCTTTTTGACAAGATCTCCAACAATGCGACTTGACGAACATGGGGGGTTGCGTCCTTGCAGCCGTATGGTTCACGTCGGGAAAGTCAGATCCTTCCAATGACATCCACTATCATCCACTTTCATATTTGTTGGATTTTGTTGGTGTGTTGAGTTTTGAGACCAACTTTGTTGTCACTTCAGTTAAGTCCACATTTGAAAAACACACTGACAATGGAAATCATGAAGCCCACAGTCTTGTCGGGGCCACGGCCTTGCTGTTCCAAGGACAGAAATCTCAGCGCGAGCCCCTTAAGCGGCTGGACCCAGTTGGGCCCGGGGCGCTTTTCTGCGCGACTTTCTTCAACATCGATCATCCCACCACCGGACATCATGATATATGTATACCCTCTGGTAGTTAAACATAGCAATGGAAAATGGCCCAGTTATAATTGATTTACCTATTAAAAGTGGTGATTTTCCATAGCTATGTTAGTTTACCAGAGGGTAATATACAGTAGATGTAAACTATATATATATATAACATTGCTTACCCATTTTAGTATAAGCATCAACAAAGCCAGAATAATATTGTCATGATATATTATCCAAACAATGACACATTATCGTGATATATATATATACATATTACATAAATGCATCATCGTATTGTACGTATTGAACCAATGACATGTGTGTGTGTGAGAATCATCCAATCAACCGATGGGTTGTTTGCAACATCCAATCAACCAATCAACCAATGAAATCATCAACCAGTCATGTTCATGCTTTTGTTTAATCAAACCATAAACTCTGAAAACCACAGTTGTTTGAACCAAATAGCTTGACAATCCAACGATGCATAAGTTTTGGCATTCAAAAACATATTACAACGGACTATGGCGACTACGGCCGATAGTTTACATATATTATATACCCTCTGGTTATTTAGCATAGCTATGGAACATGGCCCATTTATAGATGATTTATGTTGAATTAAATCACCAGAGGGTAATTGCCATTACTGCCACTTTTTTTGTTGGTTCAATTCTCATTCATCACCATCAATTCCTCATAAAATCCAATGGCCATTCCAGGAACCTAAAATGGAGGTACCTACCATATATAAGGCCTATGTAAGGCCTATGTAAGGCCTATGTAAGGCCTATGTAAGTGAATATCACCACAAAATATGGCCTTATATGGTACAGTACCTCCATTTTAGGATCCTGGAATTCCCATTGAGAAATCCGGAAAATCCTCATACAATCCCGCTAAATCATGATTTTTCCGCTCCAAGACGCGAGGTCTTGCCATGGAACCCACCGCGAGCCCGGCCACGCCGGCCACGCCGGCGAGTCCGTCGCCGCCGCAGTCCGTGCAGTCTTCACCACGAGGTGATGGTGATATATATATATAAACAATACGGGGTTTAATGGCATTACAGTAAATGGAGATCATTTAGATGTATGTTAATAGATGATGTTTTTTTTTGTTGACCAACTAATTGTGGGAATATCCCCTATGATTTGATTATATAAATATTGACATCTACTTGTAGTTAAGCTTAGATATGAATATAAAATCAAATATGATATGTGAACATATTAGGGATATATCTAACACGTTCAGACGTTGATGTAACTAGTAGTACCGTTTATCTTGACATATATATATATGATATAGGTATATGTTGATAGATAATGTTAATAGTTGGCTAAACAGTATCGGTAGATATGTCAACTAAACATGGCGCTATCACCATTATATACCTTTTATATGAGTAACATTGACATCTACTTGTTGTTGTTAATATATATATATATAATCCCATGATTAGATATGCATATAGTTGATTAATGGGATATTTATAACCAAATATCACCAACTATCTCGCATTTGAGCGTGTCTCAAAATGGGGTATACCCTGATTTATGGCCATCAAAACATAGGGAATAATGAACCAATGAATGTACGGATACCCTATTTTCAGACAATTCCAAGTGATGAGTTTGGTACCCTGACAACTTAGGAAAATAGCCCAAATCCATGGTTGTTCATGCTATCGCCTGCGTTACTGGCTTGGGGGAAAACGGTGTTTTTTTCTTCTGTATGCATATCATGGGGGTGGGGTGGGGTTGGCTAAAAACGTCATGTGACTCTTCCAACACGCTCTTATGCTAATTACTCTTGTCTTGCTCTTGGAACTTCCAACACGCCCTTGATACTGCGCGCTTAACCTTCCTGGAACTTCCAACACGCTCCTGATGCTACGCCGCTACGCTCTTGACTTGATCTTCGAACTTCCAACACTCTCCTGGTACTATGCTCTTAACTTGCTTTTGGAAAATCCGACGAATTCAGACATGCTTTGCTTGAATTTTCAAGACATGCACGAAGATGCAATGGTCAGATCTTCAAAATTGTGACTCAGGCCGCTCAGGCCTCAGATAAATGCTGGGATTGTCACTGTTGAATGGGGATTTGTGGAGTTGGATTTGCCAATTGCAATGGCTTTGCAACAACCGGCACAACATTTGGCAAATGGTGCCTCAGGTCATGCGCCGCTCAAACGGCGACCAAGCATGGAACACGCAGCAGGGCTAAAACATCCCGCCGGGTGGGAAACTGAACCCACGTTTTGTCTGTTCTTGGCGTTCATATGCTAGACATTGGATGCGAAACGCATGTTTTTGGCAAACATTTCAGTTCATGATATTCGCTGTGCCACTGCGTTTTGGCTTTTTCTTGCGTTTTGCAATGTTTTCTGCATTCATGAGCTTCCAAAATCAGCGTCATTTTTTTGCAGTTTTCTTGAAATATGCAGGTTTTAGCACATTTCTGCGCGCGTTTTTTTCTATCGCCAAGGACAGTCATCCAGACTGGACAGTCTCATTCAAGACTTTGCCAGTCTTTTCAAACAAGCTGGTTCCAGTGTTCTCCCATCTCCATTGCCAGGACCTGCAATGCTTGATCAAGGCCGAGTTATAAGTGTGGCCGTGGCCTTTCTTCGAAGCTAGAGACTTGGGAACAGCTTGCTTCAACAAACGCCATGCGTTATCGATGGTGCCCGTGTGCACACTTAGTGCACCACTGCGCCTTCTTTTTCGAAGCACAAACTGATTCTGCGAGTGGTTACACTGAAAGTGTTGAACTTTCAACTCACGCGCTTGCTTGACGTAGCATTGGGCACCATCTGTACACAGCACCGTTTTGGCATTGTTTTCATCCAATTTAGGATTTCCTTGCAAATTTGTGCATTTGCGAATGCGTTTGTAACTCTCTTGCCTGCATTGTTCGAATCGGCAGTTCCTCAGAACTCCGATGTGGTGCGTCGGAGCATGAACTTAACCAGGAGAGATGATAATATAAGTTGTTTTTCTTTCATAACTTTGGTCCCCATGTACAAATATCTATTTAGAAAAACAAACTGTAGAAGTTGAGTTGTATCACCAGGGTGCCAAGAACGTAGAGGTTGATGGATCGCTCGCCACGCTTGACAACTCAGTAGAGCTGGAGGTACCGCAGGGCTGAGGATCCCGGAACTTTCCAGTGTCTCAGCGATGTGCCGTCCGCTTCCAAAATGCCTTTACAGGCTACATGATATGCCACCGCAAAAACATGATTACAGAGGCATGAGATTGAACATGTTTTCGACAATTTTTTTTTGGGGTGGGGGGCAGCGATGGCTGTCCTGAGAGATCGCGGTCTTTCTGCGTCCATTCCGCGCATCTGGCTTCTGCGTGCATCAAGGAGTTCCGGAGTTTGGCAAGGCAAGTGGAACTGGCAGCGTCATGCCCCAAGCGGTGACCAAGCTCTTCCACGGTGGGCGGCACACTGCGCCTTGGAAGTAATGTTCCATGGCTTTGTGAATGTGCGCCAAAGGCATGCGCAACTTGAGTAAATGCGAGTGTGCGAGAGTGTCCACAAATTTGCGGCATTCGTAGCATCTATAGAATAAACGTCCTCTGCCACGAAACTGAGACTCTTTCCACGAGGCCAAGTTGTATGTCCCGCCGCAGGCACAGGAAGGAGGGCGCCAAGTCCATCCTGCTTTCTGCAAGGCTTTGTGAGCTCTCTTGGCATCCTTCTGTGTCAGAACGGTCTGCAGATTCTGTTTTTTTTTCTCTTGGACTTCTGTTCTTGTCCTTGTCTCTGTTTGCTTTCTTTGACTGTTCTTTTCTCTTTTTTCGCAGGTTCTTGGATTCAGGTCTTTGGCGCCAAGCTTTCACAAAGCCTCTTTTCCCTGACGCCTGACAAGTTACTGGACGAAGATCTTACAACGTATCAGGAACGCCTGACAAGTTACTGGACGAAGATCTTACAACGTATCAGGAACGCCGGACAAGTTTCTGGACGAAGATCTTGCAACGTATCAAGAACGCCTGACAAGTTACTGGACGAAGATGTTCGGACCAAAATGTTACAACGTATCAAGACATCGTGATTGACACCACAGGCCACAGGACGTTATTACACCCCCCCAACCCCCCCAAAAACCTCCCCCCAAAAACCTCCCCTTGAAAAAATGATAAAATACTGGCTCGGTTTTCCACCCGTAGGCTAAAACATGCGATGCCGGTCATGACGGCGTTGCCTTGTTCATCATTGGTTTGTCTGAGCATTGAATGCCACAAGGAAGAACAAAGAGACAAAGGAAGTAAAAAGGTACAAGGCATCCGACCGAACATTTAAGATGTGCAGACCAAAGAAGATATGTTCTAAAGAAGGCATGAACGGTTCTCGGTGCAGGTATGGCATGGGCATATTGGCCGTCACGCAGCAGATTGTTTGGTTTTAGCAGGCATCAGAAGCAGCAAGAGCACCTACGCCGCCACTTCTGGCAGAACCTCCGGCAGAGCGCCCCCTACCAATGCCGCCGCCTCCTGGGGAACCACCGCCTGGTTTGAAAGATCTTGGGCATCTTGGGCAACTTGAGTGTACCTTCCACAGTTTACAGCTTGCAGGGTTGGCAGACCAGAGTTCCTTTGCCCAAAGCATGTTTGGCGACATGTGGCTGAGGCCTGATGGCTTCGTAGCCAAAAGGCCGCGACGCAACACGCTCATGAGTTTCCAGGCATGCTGTCCATGGCCCCAAGCAATGGCGCAGGAAATTTGCAGGCACTACCTCCAGCTTACTGACATGGAGGGGCTCAATGTGCCACCCTTCTATCTTCCAAGAGCGCAGCAATAATAGCGCTAGACGTCGATTTCTTTGCCGCTGCGTTCGTTGCTTTGTTCTTTGACTTTCTTCGACTGGGGAAAAAAGATGGTGCAACCAGCTTGACTTTCCGTGGTGGCCCATGCCAGAAAAGTGTGGCAAATAAGATTGGGGGTGCTGGATCCGTAATCTACAGAGTAGCTATGGCCGACGGCCCAGAAGCATTGGAGCTGCTGAGGGACCAGGGCTGTAAAAGCGTAGGGCCATGAGAGCAGCACAAATTGTGTGGAGGCCCAAAAAATCGTTTTTGGCGGCCAACACACTGCCGATTTGCGAACATAGCTTGAGCATGATTTGCCAACACGTCAGCCCAGAAACGTTGTTGACGGTCTGGCTTTGCTTTTCGGTTGGGTTTCTGACGGTGGTGTGATTATTTTCGGTTGTAAGTTGCTGGTAGACGTTGTCGCTGACATGTTTTGCAATGATATGATTGACATTCGGTGTTGACGACGCGGTTGATGACCAACATGATCAAGATGCGTATTCGTGTGACATGGCGGTCCCCGTGTTGACCTGCACGAACTTTTCCGATTTTGTTGAAGTTAGAACGGCAATCACAGAAATACACGATAAATAGGTAGCATATTTATATTAATGTCTTAACCCCTAAGGACACCAACTGCTAAATCCCATCTGTTCTCATTTGGCTGGGCGTCCATACCTGCAGTCGGGTCGGATGGCAGGACATTTGAAACAAACAAGGCCTAAAACCACTAGAAACACTAATCACGCATGATTCTATACACCGATTTTTTGGTACAGTTATGGCCATTTATCAGTTATAACTGGTTATAAATGGGATTAGATATTCTATTAATGGATTATAAAGTACTTATAGCTGGTAAAGGGCCATAACTGTATAATGCATCCAAATTAATCGGGATTTCTCCGATCTTTTCTGAGCACCTTCCGCACCTGGGACGGTTGGAAGGTGCAATGCCTGCGATGCCTGCGCGCTGTCTCGTTCTCCCTCCGAGTGGCACGCCGTCGGTGCCGTACCTTGGCGGCAGTGTGTTGTTCCCCACCTCACTTAGAAAAACATCTGGGATATGATAGTACTATAATGTATTATAATAATCATAATCATAATACTAATAATAATATAAAATAAAAAATAATAGCAATATAAAATAAAAAATAATATTAATCATAATAATAAACGATCATAATGATAGTAAGGAGAACGCTATTGATAATAGCAATGGCCATGATCGGAGGCATATGAAGTCTTCATGAACACAACCACAACATCAACAACATCAACAACATCAACAACATCAACAACATCAACAACATCAACAACATCAACAACATCAACAACATCAACAACAACAACAACAACAACAAACGACGATGAAACCAATACGAGAGTAATCGTGATCATGAGGATCATTCAAACATTGCTAATGTATCGGGTTGCTACAGACTTGGGAACCTCATTCCATCCCATGATTTATCATCACACCATCAAAAACCATACATTGGGGCACACTGTATTTGAGACAAACCCATATGTCAGAAATGGAGAACAAATATGTTGCGTAGGAAATCTTCACTACCACCACGGCCACCACGTATTTTGGGTTGATTGGGTTCTTAGAGACCCAACCCCACTCATGAAAATTTGAACAGCAGTCGGGATTTCCGAAACCCCCAAAGATGGCCAAAGATGGGACCCCCCATTCCCTTTTCAGCTTCAAATACCTATCAGAACTTCTAGAAGTATGACTTCTCAAAATAGGGTTTCCAATCACCTGAAAAAACCATGAAGCTGGGGTCCAATTCTCTCCCCAGGGATGTGCTTCCAGCGGTTCAAACGGCTCCCCCTGTGCTTTGGAGCTCATTTGGGAAGTTGTGCCGAAGCCCTTCGACCAGTCACACGAGCGTTACCATGGCGGCGCCGCCCGTGGTGATTTCTAGCCCACAAGGCGATGACATGGGATGAGATGGGCGGAAGTTGGTGATTTGTGACAGATTGAGAAAACATGAGACATGAGACAAAGACGTTGGATGTTTGGAAGGAAAGAGGGAGACGGAAGGGTTTACTTTCTCATTGCCATTTTCTTCGATCTGACTGGACTTGCGGAATTACTTGGGAAGTGTGACAGCAAGGTGTGTAGTTTTTCAGGCAAACTTGGTATTTTTCACACTTTTGGAGTGCCAACTTTATGATTCCCGCTTTTCTGGCAATGTGGAAAATCCAACTTTCTCCATTTGAGGATTTCATAAACACATTAGCACATTGGGTGTGATTGATGGTTTGGCACTTGTTTTCATACCCTCACTGCATTTGTTCGGTGCACTCAAAAATTACAAACCCCTACCACCTGTGTGAGGATTTCCGGCCACAGTGGCAAGAAGTGGAATCCCGTCAGCACCTAACATGGAAGCGAAGCACCCAGAATCAGTAAGACAATCACATTGCAAAGGCCCATGTTTAGGTTAGATGGAGGTTTCCGAAAATGGGGGGTACGCCTAAATCATCCATTTTGATTAATTGGATTCCCATTATAAACCATCCATTTTGGAGCCCATATCTTGGGAAGGTCATTCTGATTGTCTGCATTTCTATGTGTTGCTGTTTTGGAAAGATCACCCGGTCTGTTGGCTTCATCACAATCATCGATTTTCTTGGTGAAGTCAGAAATCAGTGTTGTTAGGCAAATTCCTATGTCGGGTGCTTAGATTCTTAGATCCCTGTTTTCTGGCTTTGAAATATCGAATTTCGAGTGAGTTTTGTATCGAATGGAGAACCCAGTTTTACTTGGTAAAGTAGTTGCCGTTTCATAGGGAACATGAGGATGAACCAGTAGACTTAGGGGTGCTTTATTTTCTAAGAAACCTACATCCATTTACAGAGACCTTTCCTGAAATGCAACGCACATGAAAGTCCATGCATTTCAAGACTCGATCGGACTGCACTCTCAAAGAGTGGCCGAAACACTTGTTGGTTGGTGTGCAGGCCCACTACTTCCAATCTAACCCGGGCTTAAGAGGGATTATCATGGATTGTGACAACCCACAGGAATCTCCACCAGTGGAACTGATGCCAGGACAATATCCTCCACTACAAGCAATGCCTTGCCCTGGATCGCCCAGAGACGTTAGGCATCGGGAGTTGAACAATGAATTTGGTGTGGTAAAGCCACTGCCTGATGTCACCATTTTGGGGATCTAGTTTGAAACCTTAAAGAGAGTTTCTTCAATTCTTTTGAATCAGAATACCCCCAGTAATGGGAGGATGTGGCATGGCCCCAACTGGTTGGTTAATGGGGATGGTTTATTATTCTCGTTACTATAATTATCACTATTTCTATCATTTTCTATCTATATATTTCTTATATCATATATATTTTTAATAATTTAGTAATATTTAGTACAATGACAAACAACCATTTGGGGGTCACTTTACTAACCATAAGCCAAGAACAAAAATAGCCCTAGCAATGCAATGGTCTATACTTTGCCGCTTGACATCGTCAGGACTCCCGTTCAATATAAGTGCTGAACCTGGCAGTTTCCAACCCCTGAAGGCAGGGCTGAACTTTTGACGGATCCATTGTGGATGTGAGTTCGGGTCAAAAACTCAGTTCAAAACCTTGCAGCTCAGACCCACATTTCTCTTTTTCAGCTTTTCTTGTGAGTTCCGAAATTCCCACACTAGATCTTCCCATGATTGGGATGCTTTTAATTTTGAACCATGGATCCCAAGTTAGAGAAATTGCTCGGCGCGGGCGGCAGAGGGGTCAGCGCCAAGTATCCATGTCTCAAAAGATACGGCTTTTGAAGTGCCCAATCAGTATATGTAAACCCAATGCCATAAACCATCCTATCAACAGACCATTTGGGGGTCATTTTACATTATCCCATGTCTAGGGGTATACCCAATAAGCGCCAAGTGGGGGATGTATTGTGACTGGGTTTACCTCATTCGTGAGATATTTGAAATGTGTGTTGACATGCAAAATATCTCGGACCTGAGACATTGACACTGTTAACCCTGCATTCATCAATCCTGCTTGATGAATTAGGGGGTGATCCGCAAGAAGTATCTAAAAGTATCTAACAGTCAGGAAATTGGGTACTACATTGGATCCACCAGTATCCAGTTGTATAATTTATCAACCTTAAGGATTTAGTCATCTGAGAACGACACATCTCAGAGCTCCAGTATTTGAGTCATGGCCGTGGATCAAATCCATGCGACCGACGAGCCGCGATACGCGGAATCTCAGCGCTGCCATTGGCGAGAGGTGCCCTTTGATGAAAGGATGGGGGCCTTTGATGTGGAAGAAAATGAGTTGCATTGATAATTGAATATAATTGATATGGGTTTGTTTGGAAATATGATACACATAGATTTGTTGTGTAATGTGATTTACACGATATATTGATTGCAAGGCGACGTGCGTGTCTGCCCAATACTCTAGATTCTAGATTATTGACGCACTAAAGTCACTAAAGACCAAAGTCCGTTCACTTCCACATATTTGCCTCACCGGCTGTCACTGAGTGACTTGCCATCCGTTGCGTGCCACGTTTCCAGCGCGCGTCATCAATTGCGGCCACATGGCTGCCTCCGAGTGGATCAGAAACAGTGTCCGCACGCGCTACGGAGTGGGTCAAGACTGTGCCAAACTCGGGGAATGGACATTGCATCCATACAGCACTGTTATTGATCCATAGCCAGTTGGGAACAGGGAAAAAACTTCTGGACTCTCCACGGGGTTTTCCTCGTCTCCCTCTCTTTTTTCAGCAAGGTTGTGAGCATTTCATTGTTTTGGATGATGGGGTTGGAAATGACGTATGTCGTCAAATGTCGTCTCTGTTGTTTCCAGCCCACTTGTTGGCCTTTCTCAAACTCAGTCTTCGCAAGGTCTGGAGCCACGCTGACACTTGAGCCGGGGATTTGGCGAAGTTCGGTGAAGGGTCAAGGGTTTCTCCTTTGAAAAGGGTTGGCCATAGGCCATAGCCTCATTTTGCAGCCAATTTGTATCTCAGAGGTTTCGGACTCGTATTCCTCGTGAGAGGACGGCGCAGAACTGGCTGTTTAAACCAGATGGACCTTTCAGCGCTTTTTTTTCTGATTTGCTGAGCATGCCTTCCTCTCTGACTCTTGCATTGACGGTAGAAAAAGGGTCTTGGACACGCAGCGCCATACTGGTAGAACCTAGCCGCTTAGCTAGTGGTATCCCTTCCACCTTCAAACACACATCCCTCATCTGCAGGTAAACACAGCAGGCCTGATGCAGTGAAGCCAAGGCAGCATGGGAATTCGTTATTTTGATTCAGCGACAGAGTCAGTACATGTCATTGCAATGATTTATGAAGATACATAGACTATAGACATCTGGGCAGCCATGGCGTGGCTCTCAGCATCCATTGGTTCTAGTCCCCCAAGACTTGCATTGAAGGCAAACTCCTTACGTTGTGCCAGAGCCATGAGAAATTTGAGCAGACTGAAGGGGTACGGGTACAGTGCCAAGTTTCATTTTTCAAAGGATTTGGACATATTCTGATTGTATAACTATACTATTTATTCTATATAACACAGTCTCACTTTAATGCGACATATTCTATTTTGGTCTTTATCGTTTTTCGGTGCCTCGGCCCCGTGGTTTGAAGCTTTCCGTGCCATGGCCGAGCTGGATCCCAGTCCCTGGGAAGATGCAGGGCCTGACGGGGAGCAGCCCACAGTGACGGAGGCAACGAAGATGGCCCTGAGCTTCCCGGATCGCCGGGAGGAGAGGAACCGCTGTGGGCTGAGCCTTCGACTTGCATCCACTTTTGGGGATTTTTTGTGAAGAACTTTAGGGAATGTCATAGAGTCATAGGGATCTAACAAGATCTGAATCTAACCATTGACAATATGGGACTGAACTCTGAAACATGGATTTGCTGAGTGGGTGATTGTTGTTTTTTGCGTTGGTATGTTTCGCCACAACTCGGGAATCCATAGTTTTTTTGTTTTGGGCATCTTGAGCAAATCCCAGGATCCGCTTCAAGTTGGAGAATGGGATGCCTGATGTGGGCGGCTTGGGCTGGCGCAGTCGCGCCGGACATTTGCTGAAGAATCAGACCTTTTTTGCCAGTCGTCCAGGGGAAAATCAGTGGAACAACCCAACTCATGCAGGTCCCAGAACCTGGAGAAGCTATCATGGTCCCAAGCTTCGAACGGATGCGGATTTGATGGAACGAATGGATCGAGTGGAGGCTTACCATGCTGTTTGGGAAGCCAAGAAGGCCTTTGTGAATACCGTGCGGATGCAAACCTTGGATCGTTTCTACAACCGGAAGATTGAAAACGAACAGAAAGAGATGGCATCGACTTGGGCCCCGCACCGAAGAGCAAGGGGAGAGCATCACAAGTATCATGAGACCATGGCATCCAACTTGGACAGTATGCCCATGAAGGAGAGGGTTTTGGGGTGGCTTCACATTCAAAAGAGAATACAAAGCATACATATAATTACATATATATATATATACATATATATATACATATATATATATACACATATATATATATGGGTACTGGGGAATAACCGTGCCCCCTGGAACTGGTTTGTTTATATGCTTTGATTCATTTAATTCCCCAGTGCCCATGCAGACCTGTACACATTTTAATATATATATATATAAATAAAAATACCACAATTCTCAAAGCTTGGATACAGAAAACTTTGCAAACTTTGCAAAGTTTTCTGGATTCAAGATTCAAGATTCTGAGGGAAGTACCAAGATGCTCTCGAACTTTACCTCAAGAAGTATGGCCAGCTTGTGCTAGGCTCTAAAGCTGGTGATGTCGTTGTCTTTGATGAGACGAACATGGGACAGCCTCGTGGGATATCAAAGGCCGCTACCACCAAGAAGACCCATCACAAATCCAACAAGATCCAGAGGGATCGTATTGTGAAGCGTTTGCCTGCTCGAACTTTCCATCGGCCAGCAAGTTGTCTTCGTCGCCCTGCTGCCTCTTCATCAACTTCTGCTCGCAAGCGGCCTGCTGCTGTGATGAAGTCAATCTACAACAAAGGCATTGCTGGGACGTCCAAAGACCAACGGACTGGGCGTTGGCTCTTTGCTGCTGTTCTTGTTGGAAACAAGGCAACCCGATACACTCATGACAATGGTTGCAAAAGGTTCAGCTTCCATATTATGGACCTTCCAAAGACAGCACCAGACGGCAAGCTCAGGGGCATCAAGAGCATGAAAAAGGCCATCTTGAAGTGCATTAGCCCAAAAGCATTTGTGGTGCATGACAAGTGGAAGGCCTCTTCACCGGCTCTGGCTGACATTGGGTTCAAATCCGCGCCGCCTGTGAACCATAGCCAGGGATGGCGAGACCGTGCAACGGGCTTTCACTCCAATGACATTGAAGTGAATTCTCCCGATTGAAAAGGTATGTGAGAGAGCGTTATGGCCGCCTATCCTTCCAATGCCAAGGGGCTGACGACGCAGAGGAAACGGATGCCGTGGATGCCGGAGATCTCTATGAGTATACATTCAAAACGAATGTAGGGAATAGCTTCTTCGATGTCTTGAAGGCCTTGCAAATTAAGTCACCTTGTTAGCTGGATGTCTGAAAACGACGCGTCTGGGGAAAACACAAATGGTGCGATATCGTCTGTTGATTTGTCTTCTTGTCTTCTAGTGCAATCAGAGCATCATGCAGTATCACACAGCACATCAATGTCAAGGCTGACGTCAAAACATTTGGCAGTGCATTCTCTGCTCATTCTGCAAAAAAGCCAGGTCTGCTACTACACCAATGGACTTCAAAGGCATGGACACAAAGGCAACTGCTTCTGAACCATTTACAGGGGGCACGGTTATTCCCCCGAACCCATATATATATATATACATATATAATTATATATATATACATACATATATATATATACATATACATATATATATACATATATATACATATGTATACATTTATATATACATATATATATACATATACATACATACATACATAGATATATCAATATATATATATATCAATATATATATATATTTATATACATATATATATACACATATATACATACATATACATATACATATATATATATATATATATATCAATATATATATATACATATATATAATATGACTACTGTATATACATCTATACTTACTACACTCTGGAAATCAAAGAACCATTTGAACTTGAACTCCCTCATTTTAGCACCCCTGCATCAGGAGTTGAAGAAGGTCTTGACTCCTACGGTCCTTCACGGGGATCGCGAGGCCATTCGCGCCATCACCAAGCGCGTCCAGACCGAGGAGACTTGGAAGGTGGCCTGGAAAGAGATGGAACTGGCCCGACGTGCCGAGACCCAGGCAGATTTGGAACACCGCATGACCTACAACGCCATGCTGATGGAGTTGGCGGGGCAGGCCCCACGGGCCAATAATCCCCGGAAGCCGCGGAAGTGTTCCAACCGGGTCAGCGATTTGGCGCGGCCCGCGAAGCCTAAGACGCCTGATGACATCACGAAGCGCTCCGACTACGCGGGCCTGGTGCATGTGGATCACCGCCATGCCATGGAGGCCCGCTTCCCCGGGGCTGGCCATGCCTTCACCGCCACCTTTACAGCAGATGCGACGGAGCGCAGCAAGCCGGCCTTTCCGCCCCCGGAGCCACCGGCAACGCCAGCGTTTCCAGAGGACAGGGCTTCAGGGCTGGTGAACCATGAATTCATTGAAAATCATTCGGCCGGATCTTTGGGACCAGACATTCTACACTTTGTATACGGATGCTGGGCTTCAAAATTGGGCATTTGGAACCTGGAATATTTTAGAATATGTTCTTTCATCTGCTAAGTGCAAGAACCAGTGCAAGAGGGCGATATAGCTGTTTTTGGGCATGGTGTTGGGGCCTGTGATTGAAGCCCTGCAGGAGAGCCAATTCTCCGCTGATAGCCGGTGTTTGGTGAGAAAAGGTAGCGCGCCCGTGAACCAGCAACGACTTCAGACTGTGAAGCATCGGGAGGACACGGGCTGATGGCATGCGAAACCTCGGATGGGTAGACCAACTAGTCAACTAGTCTCTTCGCTTATGTATGCTTATGTATTATTTGTATTTATTTGTATATACGGTGCTATATACGACTAACCTCTGAGATCTTTCATTGCAGGGCATATAAGTCTGTGACATTTTGTGGTTGACTATCTGGGTCTATGCGCGGCGAGGCACAGGTTTGGCAACCACGCAATGTCCCACAGAATACCTGCTCTCAAAGCCCACCATCTGGCTGGAGCATTGGTCATTCCCTTGGTACACCATAGTGGGTCGCCAAATCCACCAACCAGTTTATCTTGATGACATTTTGTGATGGTTGTGATGTTAAATTCAACAAACAATTGTATGCTTAAAACATCTAAACACCATGATTTTCACTTAAAACCAAGCATCAACCATCAGTTATTCACTATAGCCCCATGATCCCTTTCTTCTCCCCAATATAAAGGATGGTTAAAATCTTCATCAAATCTTCATCCAACAGTGACTTTATTAAAGGACGCTGACACCTTAGCGGAGCATTCTCAGCGTCAATTCCTGGCCACGGCGGCACCGCCAGCGTTGGGAAACTCAGGGGTGGAAGGGAGATGGATGGGATGGGAAAAGATTTGAAAACTTGGGAACCACAGGTTTCCACAGGTTTTTGGCCAATTTTTTGGGAGATATCTACGGATTTTGAGAAACAAAAAGCAGATATCCATAGATGTTGATTCTGTTGATAACATATTGGAGATGTCCATAGATTTTTGTATATTTTTGGAGATATCGATAGATGTTGATAAACTTTTGGAGAGATCTACTGTATAGAAATTGATGAACTTTTGGAGGTATCTATAGGATTTGATGAACTATTGGAGACTATAGATGTTGATAACAATTTGGAGGCATCTATGAATATATGTATATATATGTATAGATTCTGGCAAACAATAACATGGAGGTATCTATAGACTATAGATTTGATTGAAGGGTGAAACAGTGAAACTGTTGTTGTAACAACTAAATGACATGAGAGGGGTGTTTGTGGGAGGGAAACCCTTGAACCAGCTTGGCCTGGGGCCATTTTGGCTCAAGGGTGTGATTTTGAAATCCCATGGCCTTGATCTTAAGTGGGGGATCCGACCTGACGGCAAGTTCAAGCCCATCCGAACCTTGGTTTGGGGGCGTTTGGACTGTGATCGGGGTAGCACTTAGCGGTGCTGTCCTGGTCGGTGCCGTCTTGGGTTGGAAGCTCCACTCGTGGGTCAGCCATTGGAATTTGCGCACCCGAGGGTCAGCCGGTCACCCGAGCACGGTTGGCTGGCACCAGCTGGTCAGTCGAGCCTTACGGTTTATCCACCGAAGGAGAACCGTGGCACTGGCTTTCCGCAACTACTCACATCATCAGCTACCTTCTGTGCAAAGCCCTCCTAGGCCAAACCAAAGGAGGCGCAGGGTAGCCACTCCTGGGCCCAAGGCAAGCCCGCAAGGCCCAGTCTCGAGACAGGTGTCGTGGAGTGAAGGTCCGGTATACCATGGATCCAACCGAAGAGGAACTCAATAACCTCAACACCTTGGAGAATGCAGCCGACTGGGCAGGCACGACAGGTGCGGTCCACGACCATCTCATGGAGAAGTTGGGCAAACCGTCCAAGCTGCGGGACCTGGTGTTCATTGCCCGTCCTACGTGGGATACGGTGGTGGCCAGCCTCACGATCAAAGAGCCTCAAGCTGATGGTACAGAGGCCGAGCGAGACTTGACCCCTGTGGAATTTTCACGGGTCGAGATCTTTCGCCGGGTGGTATTCCTGAGGCTCAAGGTCAATCCAGATGGACCTGGTGGTGCAGGCCCTCCACAGCCGACTGTGGGAGCGGCCCCATTCCCCGGCACTGGAGGGGGACAAGGTCCATCATCCCCAACAAGAAAGCTTAAACTGAGTAGCATCGTAGATCCCACACTCGATGCAGAGATCCTGCAATTGGGCCAAGAAGAAATTGCAGAGATGTTCTCCAAGTACAAGTCCAAGTTCGGCGATGTCCCGTCAGCAGACGTGGAACCCAGCGCTGATCAAATATCAGCAATCAAACAGCTTCTTACCAGTGGAGCTCTGCCGTACATAGACATGTCAATCTTCGGGCCACACGCCATCCGGTCGCTGCGCAGGAGTGTGTTCTCCTCCTACACCCTGAATGCGGCGACTGGGGAGTGGTCGAAGAAAGAGAGCCCAGGTCCGGCTACTCTTCAACAATGGGAGAAGAGCTTCAAGACCTACAATGTGGCTATGCTCTTGTTGGAGGCTGCAGATGCCGAGAGACTGGAGGGCTACCTAGAACACATAAAGGACCTCCATGCGCAGTTCGGACAGGAAGCATGGGGCATCATATACCGTGCAGACGTCAGGATGAGAAGTGAGTTCCAAGAGCGGATCCGCAGAGCCCTGGATGAGGACCCAAAGTATGGGTACACTAGGGCCTCTCCATGGAGCTCAGTCTTTGCGGCAACGGTCAGGGAGTCGGACTTTTGGTCCAAAGAAGTGGCGACGCCAGCCACGCTCCTTCTGGCCCGCAACAAACAGCTGGCACCTGAAGAGAGCAGCTCTCAAGAGGGTCGCCCACAGAAGCGCAAGTCTCGGCAGCCAGAAGGCACGCAGAAGAAGAAGGCCAAGCGCAAGTACACAGGTGAGGACAGATCACGTTGGGACGCAGAACAGTCAAGGTATTCCTTGAACCGAAAAGGGATCCAGATCTGCCAGAAGTACAACCGAGGCGCCTGCGGAAACGGGAAGCCGCAGTCACGATGTGAGAACAATCGTTCACATCAATGTGACAAGTGTCTAGGCCCCCACATGGCCAAAGACTGCAAGGGGCCCAACTGAAAGTTAGGGATCAAGCTGACTCCAAACAGAGAGGCCCAGCCGAAAGACACGCGGCCACCGCTTCCACGAAGGAAGAGGCCACATGAGGCCTTTCCAGTCAGGGACAGGAGGGATCGCCCAGTTTCCCCTTCCAGGTCCCCTGGAGGCACTCATCGGCCGGCGGTGAAGAGACCCAGGTTAGAAGCTGCCCCGAAAAGGGCGAGCCCAGAGAATGAAGCCGCTTCACACCACAAGAGGCCGAGGCAAGACAGAGACCGGAAGGCACCAAACCCAAGAGAGGAGGAAGAACCCGGAAGTTCAAGTGACTCCAGCTCATCGTCCACATCATCATCCACTACGGTACAAGCAGGGAGAGAGAAGATCCCATCAATGCCGCTGTACGTGGACTACAAGTATGGGGCCACCAACCTGGACCCGCAGCTGTGGGACGACAGGCCCAGGGCCCTCCTGCTCTTCTCAGGGCGCCCGAGGGATGGAGACCTTACCTCCTATCTTCATCACATGGGATGGATAGTGGTGGTGGTCGACAAGCAGGGGCCGACTGCGGCAGACCTTCTGGACACGGAGGTGTGTCGCAAGATCTTCGCGGATATCAGGGCTGGTGTTTTCGACGTAGTGGGCATGGCTACACCTTGCGAAACGGTGTCCCCACTGAGGGAGAATCCGCCGGGCCCGAGACCACTCAGGTCCCTACAACATCCGGATGGGCTGCCTCTTAAAAGCCTTTCCTCAGAGGAGAGAAAACAGCTCAAGGAGGCAAATCATCTCATCGAATTCTCCACACACGTGACGAGAGAAGTGAGGCGCATCAGAGCGGCCTACTGGATAGAAAATCCAGACCACAAGGAGAAACTCGACATGTGGAAAACGAGCTGGTTCAAGGAGATGACTGGTCACGAAAAGGCGTTGTTCGACCAATGCCAATTTGGAGCAGAAACAACGAAGCCCACAAGGATTCAGACGGACTCCCTTCCCCTTGGACAAATCAAGGGGAGGAGGTGCAACCATCCTCCGAAGGAATGGACCAGACCAAACGGAGAGACCTACGTTTCACCACACGAGTCCTTGGTCCAGAGGTGGAGGACAGTCAGAGGAGAAAAGGAGCGAGCATCCAAAGCTCTGGGTGAGTACCCGCCAGCCTTGAACAAGGCCTTGGCAGAGGCGATGGAGAAGGCGGACCTTCCCCGCGTGATGAAGCATCGCGAGGGGAGTCTCAGGAAGGCAGCGAAGTGAGGCGTGAGTGCCGGACCAACAGGACCAGTCTTAGAGGACCAAGCGATGAGACAGAGGGAGATTGAGAATGCCGATGCCATTGGGGGGATGCGCAACCCGCTAAAGTCCATCAGGAGGATCCCAAAATCCGACATGGCAGGCAGGGCCGTTTTCAAGCTTCTCAAGCAAGCAACATCTCACCCCTCTGTCAAATCGCTAGTCGACCAAATTTTAACGGGTGGGACAGGCAGCTCCGATTTCAGCTCAGCTTATTGACAAGCTTAGGCAACTGGTATGTTCGTTGTCCCCAGGAACCTTTCAACCTAGTACTGCAAAAGCATGCACGCCACTCCAACCTCAGATTTTTGATGCTTGGGGAAGAATAAGTGGGGACCCGGATTCCCCGGTGCTGGCGCAGTGGTTGAGGTCGGGCGCTCCCCTAGGCTTCACCGAACCCATTCCTTGTACGGGCATATTCCCCGTGGTTAAGGAGGTTGAATGGGAAGCTGAGGCAGCAGAACAATTACAAAGGTCATTCGAAAACTGGGATAACCATCCATCTGCCGTCGAGTGGGAAGAAGATCTACACAAACTTATTGATGAGGCTGCATCTAAAGGTTTCTGTTCTTTCTACCCCAACATGGCTGCTGCGGAAAGGGAAATCGGAATAAAACCCGTATTAAACAAACTGGGTCTGTTGGTCAAGGAGAAACAAACACCTGAGGGAGTGATTAGGAAGGCACGGATTATTTGGGACATGAGGGAGAGCGGCACAAACAAGCTATGCTCCCAAGGCGAAAGGGTGTTACTGCCGAGGGTCACCGACGCCATTGAGGACGCTTTGGAAATTTTCCGAAAGGGGGGGAAGCCAGCGTTTCTAGCAGTGGACATCCGCGATGCCTTCCACAACATTCCATCGGGTAAAGACAGAGCATTCACTTCAGCTGCATTCAGGGACAAAACTGGCACACTGAAAATTGTGGTTTATGATGTCCTGGTTTTCGGTTCAGTTTCATCTCCAACTTTATGGGGCAGATATGCAGCATGGTTCGGAAGGTCCCTTGCCTCTATCAACCCTGACATCAGACTGCAAACGTATGTGGACGACCCGTTATTCACGTTTGACTGCACGGACCCCTATCACAAGGAAAGGGTGGGAATCTCCCTGCTCTGGTCACAAATAGCCGGGTACCCACTCAAACTGGAAAAGTCTGATTCAGGAACAGAGGTGAAGTGGATAGGAGCCGTTATAAAAGCAGATCATGATAACCACACCATATCTGTAACTATACCTGAAGACAAAGTTGCTGAGCTGAAATCAAAAGTCCAGACCTACCTGAGGAGGCCGGTCATTGGACGAAGACAGCTACAAAGTCTAGCAGGCGCGTTGTCCTTCGTGGCGGGATTGGTCCCTCTCATGAGACCTTTCTTGAACTCCCTGTGGGCTGCACTGGCAACGAATGACGGTCCGAAGCAGACCAGAAATGTTGTCCATGTGCGCCGCATTGGGATAGCCTTACAGTGGATAGACGCCTTGCTGGGAGAAAAGGCAGCTCCGTTCACCAGGGTAGTGAGGGCATTCAGACAAGAGACAAAATGCATTATTATTACGGACGCATCAACCAGAGGCTTGGGGGCTATTATGATAGTTGGGGACAGACCAGTCGAGTTCTTCAGCACAATCATACCCCAAGAGTTCATCGTTCGTACTGGTGCCCAACCAGGGGACCCCAGCCACATGGCGCTTTGGGAATCCCTGTGCCTATTACTAGCCGCAAGGACATGGCTGATAAGGTTTCCACTTGGGTCCATCATTCGTGTCAAGTCTGACAACATATCGGCCCTCCACATGTTAGCAAAAGGCAAGGCCAAGTCGCCAGGGATGGCTATGATCGCCAGAGAAATAGCTTTAGATCAGGCGAAGGGAATATACGAGTTCACAATCCTTCAACACCTGAACACCAAACTCAATAAAGTAGCAGATGCATTGAGCCGGCAGTTTGAACCTACCCCACCATGTTTTCCGCACGAAGACCTGGGGGCTGCATCACGCATACCCATCCAAGTGGATTCTTCGTTTTGGCATTTACCAAAGGGTAATGCCAGATCTTTCAAAGGGGGGAAAAGTGGTTTGGGGGCATAGGTTTTCACATAAGGGCTGAGGCTGTGCACTGCATGTTTTCTTGGGTAGGTAACACATGAGTTTTGGGCTCGAAATGAAGCGTAGTCTAGGTCCACGGTTTTGGCTGGGCCAGGGAATACCCCAGGCAAAACCAGCCACCCATTCTGCAGGGCTACGCCCATTGCAGGAGGGGCCCGTCTATGGGGCCGTCGACCCCGGGCATCCCGAAGCAGCCGCACCATTTGCACAGCCAGGTGTCAAGGCTTACGCTAGGGGCTCGCTAAACGACGCCATAAGGCACGCATCCACAGGTCCGGAAAGGTGTGCAGAACACATCACAAAGAGAGCAAAGGCAGATACATCCAGAGGCCCCTATGAGTCAAGGAAATCAACGTGGTCTGCCTTGGCCAGGGCGGCGGGTTTCTCAGACCCGTTCCGTCTTTCCCCGGACCTCATCAACACGGTGATGGGAGCGATGGACATGGCCGGCTATAGATCAGCAGAGCTATACATGGACACAGCCAAGCAGATACACATTGAGAGAGGACTGGATTGGACAGCACAGCTTGCCCAGGCCTCTAGGCAAGCCAGAAGGGCGTGCCAAAGAGGCCGAGGGCCAGCCAAACAGGCGCAACCTTTGCCGATGATCGAGCTAGCGAAGCTGAAAGTTCACAAGGACCCAGCAGCTCCTGGAGGACCAATTTTCCCGATGAGGTCCGTCATGTTGGCATCATGGTGGCTCCTTCGTGAAATCGAGGCAAGCTCGGCAGAGAGGTCGCACATCGAAATCGACAAGGTCCAAAGACTTATCCACTGGAAGCTTCCATCCAGTAAGGCGGATTGGCAAGCCCTGGGCGCAACTCGAACGCATTCTTGTAATTGCGAACAGAATGCCCGGCAGCCAGAGTGTCCATACCATGCCATGGTGGAGCACCTAGAGGCAGTGGGAGCTATCAGCGATCGCTGGGTTTTCCCATCAGCCACAGGTGAGCAGTCATCCAAATGCGGATGGGCCGACACCATGCAATGCATGGCACAGCAGCTGAATCTTCTTACTCACACAGACACTGGGGCAAGGAGATTCACCGGACACAGCGCCCGGGCAACTGGCGCAGTGTACCTGGCACAGACCCAGATTGAACTCTGGAGGATCCAGCTATTTGGGCGCTGGGGTTCAGAGTGCTTCAGGATATATATCCGCGACGCTCCACTTCAGCAGCTGCATTCCTTGGCAAAAGAAGCTTCTCTCACAACTTCTTTAGCAGCAGCCCGGGCGGAACTTTCTGCGATCCTCAACCAGGCGCAAAATTGTTCCCCGCCAGCCGCAGCAGTTTCCTTACGGAACCAGTCCGTGGACTGCCTTGCGGACTGCGAGGCTGCAGTGGATATTGCTCCGCAATCGGAGCAGCCAGCTTCAGTGGAGTTTGTAATTAACAGATCTGCCTACGGCAAGATCCACAAGGTAGCCTGTAGTGGACCAACGCGTCCTCACTACCTATGGCGCACCCAATGCAACTGGTATTTTGCACGTGGTCACGCAGACTATGCACTTGCAAGTCAAGCGGACCCAGACAAGCCAGAATGCAACAAATGTTTCAAGCCCAAGCAACAGAAATTGGATGATGAGCCCTCTACCTCATCATCCTCATCGGAGTCATAATGCGCTCGAACGCAGAATGGACCAGGTTGGCATCATGGACTCAATCAAGCACATGTTTGACTCAGCCAGAGTGGGACACTTCAAAAGTGATCCTAGCTAGCTGAGTGAGTCACACTCATGGCCAACGTTTACAAAAGGTGCGTCCGGCTCCGATGCACATTTCTATTGCTGCTCTCATGGTCTTAAAGAGTTGTTGGGTGAAACAGTGAAACTGTTGTTGTAACAACTAAATGACATGAGAGGGGTGTTTGTGGGAGGGAAACCCTTGAACCAGCTTGGCCTGGGGCCATTTTGGCTCAAGGGTGTGATTTTGAAATCCCCGCCCGCCCTCTCCTAACTCAAAAGGGGAGGGAAGCACATGTTTGACTCAGCCAGAGTGGGACACTTCAAAAGTGATCCTAGCTAGCTGAGTGAGTCACACTCATGGCCAACGTTTACAAAAGGTGCGTCCGGCTCCGATGCACATTTCTATTGCTGCTCTCATGGTCTTAAAGAGTTGTTCAATAAGATACCTTTCTGAGTTTGATACCTGAAAATGGGGTAAACTCCCCAAAATCCCATGGTTCAAAGCATCATTTTCTCTATTAGAATTGCAGTTTGCTGGCTACGCACCATTTTCAGACACACCCATATTCATCTTTGACATTCAAGGATTTACCCACCCAATTTCCAGCAGATACCCCACTCTTGACCAATTCCCCATCACATGAAAGTGGCGACATAGCAGACAATGGTCCCTCGGTTTCCGATGACAAAGGCCGGATCAGGGCAAAATGCTTCTGAAGGAAACCAATGCAGTGCACTCAGACATTCGACTGATCCGTTGACGTTTGCATCCTGAAAGTTTGCAATGGGGATGGATTTGGTTCAAGGGAAATCTACAGGAACCAAGCACCCTTGATTTGGTTTAAACAATCACACTTTTCTGCTGAAATGAGAACTGCCTGTCAGGCAGTGGATACAGCTCAAATGAGCCTGGAGCTCCCTCCACGCTCAGACCACACCAGTGGAAGTGGCAGCCTGCACTCCAAGGACTTCGTGCCTCAAGTCTTGAAAAGGGAACCATGGGAACCCCCCTCCCCAGAAAGAAACAGGTTCCCTACAGAAACAGACCAGTTTGCTTCATCCAACGTGATCCTATGGCCACGATCAGTCGGAATGCCATCCGCATGCATATCCGAGAATAGCGGACCCTACCCAAACTGCTCTGTTTCAAGAGTGGCTACTATTTCTTTGGTGAGCAGCCTCCAAATTTTGGAAAGACCTAATAGCCCAATTCTATTGGATTAATATTGCATGGGTTTACAGAAATATCACTATGGTGGTGGATTACAGCTGCACCATTGTTGGTGGTTTGGTGGACAAACCCAAATCTCCCCATGATGGCTGGTTGAGACTTGTTTTTAATGGTCAATATCCCCACAATTTGATAATTTGATCAGGTGCATATTTCCCAAATCGCCAGCTTGTCGCAGTATATCCTCTTGATTCCAATGATGGATGCTTGTGTGGAGATAACATCTCCATTTTTATGGTTAAACCTGTTAAAATCCCTATTCTTAGCTGGTTTGTATCCACATATATATATATATATAATTATATATATATAATATAATATAATCATCCTGAGGTAGATATGGATTTTTTAAAACAGATTCCAATTTTAGAGTTTTTATGTTGCGAACTTTCCACATTGTTCACACAGCCATCACGGCTCGCCTTAGAGGACTCTGGTCAGAAGCTGGACGTTGCACCGCCTGCTCGACCAATGACTTATCCTGTCAGCGTCCCAAATGCCACTGCCTTAGCATCACCGGGCTGGAAAATGGTCAGCTTAGAGGATTTGATATTTTGTTGAGAGCCAAAATGAATCTATGGATTTCTGGGAAATTTTTGGGTACCACCAGAATTTTATGCCAACTTTGTTGTGACTTGTTGAATCCTAATCCCCGTTCAGAGTTTTTCCACAGCCCCATTGATCCCCATTGTATTTTGTCCCAAATACAGTATGTGACTATTTGATTTCATCCTGGAGTGTTTAATATTCCCATTGTATCATGCATTGTTGGCTACATATTCCCATGACATCTTCATTAATATGAATATGAAGTTAACATATTCCCGTGGTGATAGATTCCCATCAATATCCCCATTGTTGGTTGTATCCCCATTACATTCCCAGTAGATATCCCCATTGATATCCCCTATGACAGATGGGCGCAACCGGGAATCCACGGGAATCCACGTTGCAACAAGGTGGAGGACAGCATGGAGGTTCCAGATTGGAGGCCGAAGCGTAGCCACGGCGCCCTTGCGACGGCAGGGGCACCCAAGGGATGAGGCTTAAAACGTTACTGGGGAGATCAATATGGCCATGGATCAAAACCATGGCACCCTGGTGAACATCAAAATAGCTGGTAAATGGATGTTCATCGCCCTAAAAATGGTATTATATAATAGGTATTGATCCATAGCCATATGAAACATGTGGCTTTACGCATCACATGTGATATGATCTTTTTTTTGGACCAAGTATCATGGACATGTTATGGGGGATACTAGTCGGGGAGTTTAAACGGGTGGTCGGGGCAACATGAAACGATGGGGGTATTAACCATTAGCAACGGAGGAGTACCAACCAGCAATCATGGGTAGATTTGGGTTTGACGAAAAAGAGGGGATGGAACCCCAATTTAGATCATTTTCTTGATGGGAAACCTAGATCTTGAAGGGCTGGAGTTTCGGGGTAATGACATTTTTGTGGGCAATGCCTCAATCTGTGGTGGCTATACAACTTGGTGCAATGGAGGGTATAGCAAAATCTAATATGAGAAACCCCTATCAACGAGGATCACAGAGGATGCCAACGCATCCTGGTCGAAAATGGGATGTGGGATGGTGGGAAACTTTGCAGGAAACCCATAAATTCCATATCCGGAGTTTGAAGTAAGTAGGGGGTTTCCTGTAGCAAATTCGACCAGTCCATAAATTCACAAGTTCTCTAAACCAATAATCTACAATATTACAGGGTGTGTATGAACCGATCCTTTGATTGACCTGGTGAACCAAAAAAAAAAAATGGGATCGAATGGATAGCTGTGGTAGTTTAATATTTCATTGCATAGAAATCGGGTATGTTGCACCTTTATCCATGATCTACCTTTCCAAAAATTTTCTCATCAATTCCCCAGTAGCATCGCCACTTCACTGCCGTGTTGTGTGAGGCAACTCCAAAAGAGCAGGCTTTGCAAAGTGCTCGGATGGAACGTTGGCCCCCGGCTGGGCTCCCGAATCCGGGAGGATACCACCAGGATATCTCCAGAAAACGGAAGGGATGTTTCATGGGATGTATGACTAACATTAACTAACATCAACTAGCATGAACTAACAATATGACATTTAAGTGTCTTTCGCAAAAATAGGATATTTATATAGATATTTAAGGCAAATGGCAATTTTGCAATGGCAGACATTATCATAAACCATGGTAAAGCATCGTTCTTTTGAGAATAAGTTGATTTGTGCAAAAGCCTGCAGTCACAAAATGGATATCTAAAAGGTCCTACCGGGATTCCTACCAATGTTCTTTGTGGTTTGATTCCATCCTTCAAATCTATGAGTTTTCTGGAGCAAGAACTGCCGGCTCAATTCATTGAAAATGCAAATATGACCTCCATTAATTCGTTTAGGTCTTGCGCCAAAATAGGGATGGGTCAATACCCCTACTAGATCCTAATATATAGCATAAAGCGGAGTCATCAGGGCAAGGTATTCTAACATATTCTAACATCGTTTTGGAAAATTGCCCGAGCAAGCAGATTATTTATGGGAAATGGCAGTTTTCCACTGCAAAACTGTCAGATTGATCAGATTGCGAGAGGGTACCAGGTTTTTGACCTCCCCAAGTACTTGCCACTGGAAATGGAGCCTTAAAAAACCGGCAAAGGTTGGAAGTCAGACGGTGGACGTTACAATCCTATCAGCTTCAGGACTTGGAGTTTCACACATTGGGGGGGCCACAGCTGGGGGTATAAATATTAAAAATAACCAGCGGAAAAATCTCGTCTTTTTGAGCAGGAGTATCTAAGATTGGCCATGGTATGGGTCCTGACAGTCTACTTTTTTTGGACTGTCTCAATGGGAGGATTCAAGGGAAACATCTACAGGAAAGCATTGCTTTTACACCCTAGATATAGGAGTTTCCTGTACATTTTGACTGTGACCAATTCTGGGACTGTCTATTCAGTCAGTATTCTATTCTTGTGATGTGAAGAGCAGTCTTCCCCTTACGATTGAGCAGTCTATTGCATGTGGTCGAGTGACCAGGGGTTGAGTAAACCACATTTCTCAGATGTTGGTGCCACAGGATTGCCCAAAGCAGATAGAACTGGGCATTCCGACCCGTACGTCGTTGTGCAGGCGCGAACCTCCCGAACCGACCGACCCTGGGGATGATGCTGACCTTTGGGGATGACGGGATCAAACATGGCAAGCAATTGAAAATCCCACATTTATTGATGATCTTACTATTCAAACTTCCATCTATGGGGGATTTTCCATTGCCATGTTTTATGACCAAAGGGGTAACCCATGAAATCAAGGAATTGAATATGGTGTGTGATGGGGTGTGTGTGTATATATATACACAAACATCAGACATTTATATCACCAATGGGGTTGGGGATCTAATGAATGCAGTTGACAATATGGGCAACAAACCATGCCGAGAGTGGAGTGTTTCCGGGAGGTGGAGAGTCTCCTGCACCACAAACATTTTCGCTGAGAATAGCTGAGATGTATCTCGAGGAGACTCCCCCAAAAGAAGCAGGCACAAAGGAAAAGCATCGAATACGTAAGGCTCCAAAATTTTTGGACATACCGTGACCACGAAAAATGAGGTTCCGACCTTAACCAACTCTTAGATTCCGGCAGGTGCCAGGCAAATCGAGGTCAAAAGCTAAGACCACCGTCCAGAGCTCAGTGGCCTGTGACTGTTCGAAGGATCTCAGGGCTTCGGGGCTTGGCAGCGACAATCCAATGCCGAGGTGGTGGCTGCTACTGAGAATCCTGAGTTTAACCAGACCGTGGTTGTGCGCAGACCTTAGACATGATGAGACCCTGAAGAGACAGCCATTGGCCATTTGCCATGACCTTAGAGAAATTCACAAAACAGACTTGTGGAATGCAGTGGTTCTATTTTGTGTCCAAGATGCCCAATTTTTAGAACTCCCCAACATGGGGCAAAGCATTCATACCTTGGTGTTATCCCATCTATAAATGGATAAGTATGGTTATTAACCACTTACAATCCGTGGGATGATGCTCCAAGTAGTACCAAACCCTCTTTTCTTTGACATGTTTATCAGGGTACCTTCGGTCGATTTCGATGAAATTTCAACCTGTGAGAGGCGCGGATGGCGGCGCGGAGAACCTTTGATTATCTCCGCACCCTGGCTGTACCGCAGAAATCTCTAGTGATGCCCATTGGGCAGCGGTTGGTTGATGCTTCTATAGTTGTATGATAGGGGATAAACCATCCCAATATCATCCACAATTACCTCAAATGGGTGGTGAAAATCATGCCAAAATTGTAGGTTTGCTATTTGATTTACCAATATTTACCACATTACCATACACTAGCTGGTGCAAATGGGAATATTAGAATTCAACATGAGAATCCCTACCACTCAAGGCGCAGCAGGGGATGACAGAAGGTTTTTTTCTTTTTTTTCGCTGCTTCAGTGAGGGCACAGCTTGTGGCCCCAAAGATCCCCGGAATTTGGTGCTCAACGAACTAATCCAAACATTCCAACGGATGGCACCCAGTTGTCGTTAAAAAGCGTGTTTCATGGATTGAGGGTTCATTTTCATAGGCCAAACAGTAAAACATAGTAAAACCCTCCTCCACAGTCAGAAACCAGGGATTTGAATGTTGTGCGCCCAAGGTGATAGATGCCGATGTCATGGGGGCGGATGATCAACTTGCAAGTGTGCAGGTGGGAGGTCGAGTTAACTCCGCTTCTTTAATCATCGTTTTTATCCCACGGTCCCACCAACATGTAAATGCTCACAGCGACATTGGTGTCGCGATTTCTACTATATAGCAACACGATTCAACACGTGGATCTATCTCTTTGTCGTCTTTGTCAGGTTCCCAGTGCAGCCATGTTCCCCCATGGCTTCGAGGGAAGGCCGGTGACATCTTCCGGGGGCTCGCTATCAGCTATCCGACTGGTCGGACTTGGTCCGACTTGGTCGGACTTGGTTCAGGCTTGAGATGCGAAACACCTGGGTGCTGGACAAGGGCATGAGCGAAGAGTACAAGGAGTACAACCTCTCCTGCAGGCGCGGCGAAATATGGCGAAATGGCTTGGATTGAAACATGGTATATAGGCTATATAGGTGATGTTTGTGTCTTATTTTGTGTTTTCAAATCTTGAAAGAATAGGGGATTGTAACCAACCCAGTTGCCTTCCGTCACTATGCCTTCAGCCATTGAAATCAATGTGTTTTTCTTGGCTTTTCTTGGGTGCCAAAAGTTGTTCCATTTTTTGGGAGAGTTGTTCCTGCAGATTCCTCTGAACCTCAGCTGGTTGGGTCATATCGTAGAAACGCGTTCAAGAATACTGGAACCTCCTGCCAGTTGGATGGTCAAAATAATGGTTCTTGTCAACTTCCTCCTAAATGGGTGTATCTGAACATGGCTTATCCCCAAAATGGCACCTCGAAACAGAAAACTGAGTATCAACCATGGGATAACGCTCTTTGATGTTCATACAAAGCGACATATCCTTAAGGTTCGTTCCCCGCAAAAACATACCCATATCAAACCACCTTAGTCTGGCTTAGATCCGTGGGAAGGTATGGCCAGATAGCCCTAGGCCGACCATTGACGTGAAGATCTCCCTTCGGGACGACGTCTACACTGGTAGCGGGTGGGGAATCCACAGTGGGATGGATGAACAACATCCGCCGGCGTCGTACTTGAAAAATAGGACGTGTAACCAACAATAGTGGGTGATTGGGTGATTCATGGATAATTGATGGATGAATAGAGATTTACCGTTTTTTTTCAGAGTTTGCGAACTCGCAAATGGCAAAATTTAGACGAATGACCTAGGGATTTTCCATGATTTTCCATAGTTATCAAGTTACAAGAGGGTAATGTTGCAGTAAGAAGCACTTCGACATGTGCGCCATGGTCAAAAAGTTGGATTCCGGTTGGGTTGTATAGATTATTTCTATCAGTTCTTGGGGGATGGTCATCCATTTTCCCATTGCCAAGGCCGGCTCTTAGCTATCTGGAGGCAGAGCAGGCGGTGGATGCCCCAGCGACCCACCATGGCTGATGACATCAGAGGGTACTGTACAATTGATATCAACTGTTGACCAACTGACCAACTGATGTGGAAAGGGATGGAAGTTTTTTAGACACTGTATTGAAGAACCATGAAATGTTGAGTCACCAGTCAATTTAGTCATACATGAGGGTGTTTTTTGGTTATGACATATTACCAGCACACTATCTATGCAGATGGCGATTGATCTACGATGCTGAAAACTCCCCGGTGCCAAATTCTCATTATTCATGGGTGGCTCAGGTCAGTATGCCGGATGCCCAACCCACGACTGGTCCGTGCCCCAACGCTGAGGGGTCCAGTGCTGGAGGGATCGACCACAGGGCCTCCCCGACATTGGTGAGTTGCTTGTAACTAGCTTAACCAGGACATATGGTGGAAAATGTTGGAAAGATATACAGTTGGACGGTTTTTACAATACAATTTATAACTTGGGGGCCCCATTGTACAAGACATCGCGCTATTTTCACACACTTCATTGGCTTAGTGCTCCACACAACAAATTGGACATGGCACAACATCTTCTGGTTTCCCTGTGCCCGTTGAAAGTTTGCTTCAACAACTTGGCCACAAATCAGATTGAAGAATAGGCTACCGACTCCAATAGTTGAACATCATGTTCCCCACACAAATTACAATTTGGGGCATCCATAATTTTATAACACTGGGGGGAGATCCCACAAGTTCAATCATAATCAGAACTTCTTATTTTTTTTTGCGGAAAAAAAAGGGATTTTGGGGTATCCCCTTGTTCAGTTACCAAACCCAAATTGATGCCGCATTGGGCTTCAGGAGCCATTTGCGCCCATCTGGACAATTTTGAAGCCCAGCTGAAGCCGGTCAGAAGCTGAGCAGCTCGCTTCCCGCTCCTGAAAGTCCCTGGGGAAACCCTGAAAGGGCACATGATCTACAAACCATGTCTATATTATAACATAAACTTTCATGAAGGTGCAACTCCAGAGACCAGTTGAAGATGGAAAACAACTCCTGAGCCTTAAAGATAAATGGGTTCTCTAGCGCTGCAGTGGACCTGAAATCCCAGGGCAACCGTTGCAGTTCATTTGGCTTCAGGTGCCGCGCTTGGGCAATTTCTGGATGACACCCAGATAGGCGTGGATCCTCGCGGCATTTTGGGTGAGCCGTTTTGTTCTGCTCCCGTTTTTTGGCAAGGCTGAGAGGCCTGTGAGCTGGAGTTACTTGACCCTTTGTCCTTCATGGTCAGTGAATATCGCTCCTGAAAAGTAGCAAACTCAGTTGCAAAGTGAAGCCAGAAAGTATTGGGGGCAGAGGCAGGTGCTTTCAGATCTTTCAGCATTTTGGTTGTTGAACATCAACAATCGTTTTGTCGCTCTGGAGCCCAAAGTTGGCAACTTGATAGCCCACGGCAAAGCCGGAGGCAAAAGGATGTACATAGACTCGAGAGGCACTGCTCAAAACGAGTGGACAAACAACTCCGAGGAAACTTTCGAGTGCGGAGGAAAATGACAGCCTTCCTTTTTCAGGTGACTATTCCTATTCCTGGGTGAAGTCTCAACCGCTCAAACCAAGCGATGCATTCGCCACTTTGCATGCGGCGCAGCTGAATCGAGTCAGAGGGCACACAAATCATGCCCTACAGACAACTTGCAATCAGTTTGTTGTGCAGAAATGCAGTGTGAAGAGTATAGATGTGTATAGACCTTTCGCATGACTTGCCATGGGTAAGTTTAGCAAACCAATGGTGATGGGGGGATGCCCATCTTTCAGACACGCCGACCCTTCGGTGGTTTGCATTCTAACGACTTAAGACAGAACCATGCAATGCATTCACCACTGCATGCGGCGCATTCGAATCGAACCAGACGTTACACGCAAATCATGCCATACGCCGTAGGATACCTTGCAATAATGCAGTAAATCTTTCGCATGACACACTCGAGTTATTTCAGTGGTTGATAAATGTCCGCTGTTGAGGAGTTTAAATAGTTTCCGTCACCTTCAAGTTGTTGAAGATGTTCTTCCGATAGCTGCAATAGCTCTTCAGCCTTCAGCCCCCAACAAGACATTGCAACTGCTGCAGCAACTTGTAGATGGACTAGTAGAGCCTCGACGCCGAGGCTGACCGCCACTATTTTTTCTGATGAACGCCACTATTTTTTTTACACACTGTTGACATTCCCTCGCAAAAGGCCGGTACTTTTGGGACGTCCATGTGGTTGAACTATGTTTGTCGATGTGACTCTTTGCAATTCTTTTGCAGCCTGGACAATGCTGAAATCATACGGGGGTGGATATGGGTCGATCAAAATACTCAAAATATTAATCACAATAGTGAAGCTAGTCAAGATAGTCAAAATCCAACCATTTAAAATTTTTGGTTCCATTTACTTGCGACCTAGATTTGATAGTCATATAAGTGACATATTCCCTCCAGTCTGGCTTTTGGCCATTTTGGCCATGGCGAAAAAGAAGAAGCCACCGCGAATCGAAGGACCGCCCGAGCCTCAGGACTTGTTCAACTGGAGGCCTCTGTTGGATCCTGTTGGTATTAACTAAACACATTAATTATGGAGGGCATAAATGCCAGTGCGTCAACAAGATCAACAAGGCCCACATTGTTTTCTCGACCAAGGCCCCAGGCCTCGCTTGAGGAGATCAACGAGGTTTTGCTGGCGAAATCCGGAAAGGCGAAGCCAACGGCTGGCGCTGGCGCCAGTGTGTGGGGCGCCCCGGAGCCATGGCGGTGGACCATTTTTGGGGCGTCCCCTAGTCATAGATGGCCCCCACAGGTTGTAAATTCAGGTATAGAATAAGTATCAATATTGAACATATGCAACATATATACTCCAAGTATTTGGTATAGATCATATGATGTAGTCAACTGTGTTCAATTTTTAGTCAACTGTGTTCTTTTTTTAATGACTCCGTTGTTAAGAATTAGTTAGTGGATTTCCTGCACAGCACATGTAGGGCAGACATGCTCTGAGGATCAAGAAGACCAAAAAATCGGCTTCAAAGTCTGCGCCCACTTCGTCAGCCAAGAAGGCATCCGAAGAAACTGAGAGATCGGAAGGTCAATAGCACTGGATCTGCTTATTTTGGGGTCAAATTTCTTGGGGAGTTTTTCAAGGGAGAAGGGAGCATACACATTATACGCCCCTGAAACATGTGTGGGTCACTTAAGATTAATTGGCCTCCAGCTCGCATGGAAGTGATTGGATTCGTTCTCCATCCCGGTGAGGTTCAAAACCAGAGTTTGATGGCTAAACCGTTAAACCATCATTGAATCCAGAGATTTTCTGGGTTGAATCAGTTGAATCCTCCAACATTTCTCAAATAGAATGGGCTAGCGCCCTGGTGCCGCCGACCCCCCCTATTTGGGGGGTCCTGTAGAGAGATAGAGAGACAGATGGATGGATGGATGGACGGATGGATGGATAGTGGCTTAAACTATCTGCCCACTTATGCTCAGGAAAGACAAATAGTATGTTGCTAACGGCAGGCTGGACCGCCCAGAAGAAGCGATGGATGTGGCCTTGGGGCAGCTTTTGCCTGCACAGTTGGGCGTTCCGAGAAGCTTTTGCGCGGTTTTAAGGGTTTTAAGCCTTTTAAGGGTTTTAAGGGTTGGCAAACGGCAGGCTTGGACGCCCATAAGAAGCTATTGGTATGGCCTTGGGGTGCCTGTTGGCTGCGGGATGAGGCAAAGAGAATGTTTAAGCGTTTGAAGGGTTTGAAGGGTGTAACGCCTGGCGAACGGCAGGCTGGACCGCCCAGAAGAAGCGATGGATGTGGCCTTGGGGTAGCTTTTGCCTGCACAGTTGGGCGTTCCGAGAAGCTTTTGCGCGGTTTTAAGGGTGTTAAGCCTTTTAAGGGTTTTAAGGGTTTAAGGGTTGGCAAACGGCAGGCTTGGACGCTCATAAGAAGCCATTGGTGTGGCCTTAAGGTGCCTGTTGGCTGCGGGATGAGGCATGCCAAGAGAATGTTTAAGCGTTTGCAGGGTTTGAAGCGTGTAACGCCTGGCGAACGGCAGGCTGGACCGCCCAGAAGAAGCGATGGATGTGGCCTTGGGGTAGCTTTTGCCTGCACGGTTGGGCGTTCCGAGAAGCTTTTGCGCGGTTTTAAGGGTTTTAAGCCTTTTAAGGGTTTTAAGGGTTTTAAGGGTTGGCAAACGGCAGGCTTGGACGCCCATAAGAAGCTATTGATGTGGCCTTGGGGTGCCTGTTGGCTGCGGGATGAGGCATGCCAAGAGAATGTTTAAGCGTTTGAAGGGTTTGAAGGGTGTAACGCCTGGCGAACGGCAGGCTGGACCGCCCAGAAGAAGCGATGGATGTGGCCTCGGGGTAGCTTTTGCCTGCACAGTTGGGCGTTCCGAGAAGCTTTTGCGCGGTTTTAAGGGTTTTAAGCCTTTTAAGGGTTTAAGGGCTGGCAACGATCAGGCTTGGACGCCCATAAGAAGCCATTGATGTGACCCTGGGGTGCCTGTTGGCTGCGGGATGAGGCATGCCAAGAGAATGTTTAAGCGTTCGAAGGGTTTGAAGCGTGTAACGCCTGGCGAATGGCAGGCTGGACCGCCCAGAAGAAGCGATGGATGTGGCCTCGGGGTAGCTTTTGCCTGCACAGTTGGGCGTTCCGAGAAGCTTTTGCGCGGTTTTAAGGGTTTTAAGCCTTTTAAGGGTTTAAGGGCTGGCAACGATCAGGCTTGGACGCCCATAAGAAGCCATTGATGTGACCCTGGGGTGCCTGTTGGCTGCGGGATGAGGCATGCCAAGAGAATGTTTAAGCGTTCGAAGGGTTTGAAGCGTGTAACGCCTGGCGAATGGCAGGCTGGACCGCCCAGAAGAAGGGATGGATGTGGCCTTGGGGCAGCTTTTGCCTGTGCGGTTGGGCGTTCCGAGAAGCTTTTGCACGGTTTTAAGGGTTTTAAGCCTTTTAAAGGTTTAAGGGCTGGCAACCGGCAGGCTTGGACGCCCATAAGAAGCCATTGATGTGGCCTTGGGGTGCCTGTTGGCTGCGGGATGAGGCATGCCAAGAGAATGTTTAAGCGTTTGAAGGGTTTGAAGCGTGTAACGCCTGGCGAACGGCAGGCTGGACCGCCCAGAAGAAGCGATGGATGTGGCCTTGCGCAACGCTTGGCGAACGGCAGCTGGACCGCCCAGAAGAAGCGATGGATGTGACCTAGAGAGGACTGTGGAGGCAAACGGCAGGCTGATCTGATCGAAGCTGCCGCGAAGCATTGAAGCACTTGAAGCTAAGAAAGACAAGTTCCACACCTGCGGTGGTCCCAGGCGCCGCCCCTGCCTTGGCGAAGGCCGGGGTCGGCGGATTCAAGAGTAATCTAGTGATTTTGCTGGTTGAATTTTGCTGGTTGAATCACCCACATCAATCCAGAGCATCTGGCCCTAGACCCTTAGACCCCAGATCTTGGTCCTTGAACGCCTCCCTTTTTTTCCGCAGCGTTCAGAGCGTTGACGGTGCCAAGCTTGCTCTCGAGCTTTTGGAGGCGGTTGTGGGGTGCCATCGGCTTCTCTCAAAATGGGGAGAAATAATGATGTGACCATCAAAAATTGAGATATTTACACGTATTTATATACATATAACATCATATAACTATCTACATCTATTTACTATTATTTACCATCAACCAATGTTGTTTTAACATGATTTTTGCCATCAAAACATATCAGATCCAATGGAGTATTAACATGTATTCACCAGGAATCATGGGGAGATATGAACTATCAATCATGGGTTTCTCCAAGAATGCGGGATTCGCCCTAGAACTGCAATTGAAAAATGATGTGCAGTGCAGTGTGCAGCCTTCCGATTTTGGGAGACTCCATTTTTGAGGAAAGTCAAAAAGTAGTTACGGAATCCTGCGCCAGGCCTCAACAACTCAGCTTCTACGACGTTTGAAACCGAGATCCCATTTTCACCAGATGGGCACCAGATGGGTCAAACTTGGACTGATCGGAAATGTTCAGGAACTCCTCGGATTGCGGATCAAAGCTGATGTTTCCTATTGTTTTAAATTTATTGATGATCTTTTCTTGAAACGAAGCAAAATCCAGCCTACAGGTTGGATCAGAAGAGCAACCCAGTTGCTCCACCGACTCCTTATCCCTTAGCCTGAATTTTGCCTCTTGCCAAGGTAAGGGTTGGTTCCGAGATGTTCGGTTGAGACGTTCTGCAGATGCTTTGCGCTGAGTGTAGCAGACAGCAAAGATGTGGATGCGCATCCCAGTTGGTATCTGGTGAATAACCACAGTATAATCCAGTGAAATGGGATAGACCTCAGCTATGTGTAGGTTATTTTCCAGGTATTTCCAGGTACCAATCGACTGGGACATCCAAGTGCTGCTGGATTTGAGGCCTATCTGCGGAGCAGCAAACTCTTCCAGAAGGCCTCGGCACGCAGTGAGCTCGGAGGTTTTTGGCTGAGGGCTGATGGCTGATGTGATTTCCAATCCCCAATGATGTTTGCTTCTGAAATAGAACTATATTGAACTATACCAATTCGAGATTGATAATTCCTTCATGATTTGATATTTTTTGTAGGATCGTTCCACCTTACCATTGATACTCTTGTGGTGGATGTTTCAACAAGCTAGGTTTGATTCCCAGAGGGTGGCCTTCTGGTTTGTATGAAAATGGAGTAGACACGAAAATGACCAACTTGATGGGGAAAGACTTCTGCAACGCCATTTTACTTTGGGATTTTGGGGATCTTTGGGGTTCCAATGTTTTGGACCAAGCCACTCTGCACCCTCCTCCATCGTCGACCTCTTGAGGTCAGCTAGGGAAGAGTGGCACCTTCGACAAGCCTTCGCCTACTGAGCTATCAGCCTTTGAGGAGGCTATCCAGTGACTCCAGTGTAGCTACTTTTTGTTGGGGAACTCATTTTTGATGGGCAAACTAATGGTTTTGCAGTACCCCAATTTTTTGTGGTAAGAAATGCCGTCTTCAAGCATTCTTGGCTTTTGCCTTCTGTTGATTTCGATGTCTGTTGATATCACCAAAAAAGCAAGACCGGTCCCTGGGTGAGTGGAGACGCCAGGAGTTGTGTACTCATTTGGAGGGCTTGCGGAACAAGTTGGGCCAGCAGCCGAGCATGGGCCTGTGGGGGCGAGTGGCAGGTGGTTGGTGGGAGATCGTCCAAATTCAATAGTGCAAACGATGCATTATTTCCACGCAGCCGTGTTGAACACATTCGATCCGTTCAGCTCTCCCAGTTCGCAGCCAGACTCAGCCATGGCAAAATCGATTGTTGCTATGGTGGTTGTCGTGGCCCTTGCCATGACAAAGATGCCAACATTTTCACATCCCTTTGCCAATTTGGACGTGAGAATGTTGGCATCTTTGTCACGGCAAGGGCCACAACAAAAGTCGTTCCCCAGCCCCTCCCACAGTGGGAGAAGATTGACGGCAAGCTCCATGCCTTGGCCGCAGAAAAGCAAATCACAAGGAAGCAGACACTCAGAGAGTTCCTGATGGGCGAAGTGCCCAACATTGTGACGTACGAGGTGGACCAAGTGGATAAGGGCTTCATGGCAGATGTCCAGGTGGGAGACCTCCACTTCCATTCTGCGCATCCGGCAGCCAGTGAGGAAGAGGCGAAGCGTTCTGCGGCCGTGGCGGCGCTGTGGGAACTCCAATGGCAGCCCGCACCAAAGCCTTCCCCCAAGCGCGTTGCAAATGACCGCAAGAGGCTCAGGGGTCATTTCCAATTCCTTCCTCCACATGAGCACATCAAACAAGTGATGATTGAGCACACTCTGCACACTTTGAAAAAAACAAGAGCCAAAGTGAAATTACTTGGCCTGGATGAGCGCAACAGTCAAAACGACTTGTTGCTACACATCTCGGGGAGAGAAGACCGCTTTATGAGAGCGGTGTATAAGGGAAATGCAATCGTGAACAATATGCCAAAGCGTTTGCGGCCCAAAGTGGCCTTGCACATGGACCACTAAATATTTGTTTGCAAAACAGAGGTGCTGCAAGACATGTCGAGACAGTGCAGCGCAATTTCAAGATGCGTTAGACACCAAAGCTTCCACAATGTCGAACTTCAAGACCTCAGCTAGGCCTATGGACACAGAGAATTGTAAGAACATGGCTTAGGATTAGGATTGTGATGCTTCCATCAACTGTTTCGTTTATCCCATTTCCGGAGTTCCGAGTTATGAACTGACCTGATGATAGGACACATAAGGCCACCCAAGCAGCTATTGAAATAATGGCGACCCCAGATCAAGAAGCCCCTCGGCTGTTTAGTTGGGGCAAATTCTATCGACTAATCCCAATGAATCAACCTGGGTCTATCGATCCAGCAATCTGATCAGGAAGCGTCCCCATGAACGAGACTCGCGAGATCAGTCAGTGTCTCAATGAATGGATTCGGGTCAAAATTCTCAGCCCTGAGAGGCACAGATCTTGTGGCAGCTTTTACCAATGTGGGATCCACTGTGAAATGAACCATCTCCAACTATCAACCCCTGGGTGATTGTTGAAAATCATCCCAAGTAATAGTGGGTATAGTTTATTATTGTGGGTCCACAAGCAAGATAAATCAGAAGATTTTTCGGAACCCAACCAGGAATTATATGAATTTATAATCTATTCAAAGGATTTCTATCAGTTGAACCTCCAAGGCATTCAGTGCAGTCCTTAATCCATCATAAGAAATCCTTAATTAATCCATGTCCACGACCAACTCATGAATGTTCACGATCTTTGTCAGTAAATCCCCTAACCGGGAGTTTCCGATTTCCATTTTGATTGACTTACCATCCACCAATGTGACATGGCCAGGGAAAATATCAACTTTTGGTGGGAAAAGATGAGACATGTTGAGACATTATGAGACGATCATTTGTATTTTTGTGATCCTTATCATCACAATTTAACCGGGCTAGAACATATGGGGCAATCATCTTATAATTATCTACAAAGATAGGGTCATCATTTAGGGTTAATTTTTTGGTGGGTAACCATTATCAGCCATGGGGAAAAAGACCTGGCTATCCTGAGGCCTGAAGTCTGCTGGGCCAGGGCAGGTGATAGGAGCCAAGCTCAAGGCGGGGTTCCAGTTTTTTTGTCAAATTAATTCATATATCACACATCAACTAATTTATATTAATTCCACAGATTTTGCTTCACTAACCCATGACTATCCACAGTATTATATACCTATTCTATCCCCATCACATACCCATTATGATTGGCTTTGGTAGGGGTAAATCCAGCATTTCTCCTTCAACCATTGGGCCGCCTGCCAGCCGCAACCTCAACTAGGGCCTGAAGCAACGCGCAGCCGAGCTCGAAAAGAAGCCACGGTCAGTGATTAAAGGTGCCAGCTGTTCAGCAGATGTGAAGTGAGCAAGGTTCAGTTGACCCATTGACTACCATTGAAATGATATGCAACATATACATAGATGAAATAGAATATCATAGATAATCATAGATAATCATAGACTTATATATAATATTTAGTACCTAGAGACATTGGATGTTTGAATACAAAGGACAGCCATGGTCGCCTCAATTTGAAGCCGCACTGGCACTGTCGCTGTGACAGGTGCTGTGCGGCCGAACTGGCGAGTTTTGGGAGACGCAGAATTGGATGGTCCTTTTGTGGACTTCGTGTGTGGATTATGAATACAGTAGTCCGTTATAGTACGATTATTAATAATGACATCGGATTCAATTCCCAATGGATCATGAAATATTATGAATATTTATGAATCATATTGCCATCTTGAGGAATCCGTGATGGTGGAATGACCATGACACCATGATATACCATGTTTGTTCAGTTTAGACCATGGTAATAATATAATATGATATATTCCAAGGGCTTCTGGCTTCCAAATCCGGGCTTCCTGAAATAAAAGGGACTGCTGTCACTTGGAAGCACAACAGGAAGAAGCGCAGACCCCTTGGGTCCAAGAAGAGCAAGGAAGCTGGTGAAGATGACTGACGTCGGCGAAAGGCACGCAGCAATTTCCGCTTGGCTGAATCAACCACTGTGACGGGATGCCGGGTAAAAAAAAGATCAATGGCGCGGCGTTCATCCATTCATCACAAGTGAACCATGGCAAACCCATTTCTCTGCTGGAAGTCTGGAAGTTATACATAGTCACATAATGTCACATACATGTTCCTATATAACTGCATGCATACCTTATACTGTATAACTGTAGAATATGAACTTGTATGAATCCACTTGCAGCATCTGTGGCACCCAGGTTCCCCTTAAACAATACGACGTTCCTCGTCAACGATCGCCCAGGCCGCGAAGATCCGAAGAACCAAAGCACCGTCGGAGAAAATGCCGGGCCGCAGAGTGGGCATCTGATGGCATATGGGGGTTTCCTAAAATAGGGGTACCCCCAATCATCCAAAATCAAACTATTTTAGTATTGAAACCCATGGTTTTGGGGTACCCCCATTTTAGGTTTTTTAGGAAACTTCCATATAATCTATAATCATTCTACTATTTGGTTCTACTATCAGTATAGATTGGCATGGAGACCCACATTGGACTGTCAATGTATCAATGGACCCACAAAAGACACGTGGGATTTCCCAACCTCCAACCGAAGCTTAGTATCCATTGAGAAGGGAACGCACATCTTCAGAGAGATTTTTGACAGATGGAACACTGCTTAAAGGTCCATAGGTCCGTATATAATGATATATTTATTATATACATATTAGCATCCAAATTTATCGGCAGTTGGTAGTCTTGCTGATACCTCTCTCTATATTTAGATTGCATATTTGAAACTGGAAGCCTTGACATCGCTTTGCGCTGGAGCCATTGGCTGTAGCAGCTGTAGCAGAGCATTCCAAGAACGCAGCTCAAAATGTGTGTGTGTGTGTAATTGTGTGTATATAATATACATACCTCCATGAAATCCCCAATGGCATACTATATCCCCAGTGAGAAACATCCATCTTATTGGCACGTTTTGGGATGTGACCATGTTTTGCATCATCGGAGACACTCAGATTGAACAGCTGCTTCAAGAGTCGAACCAAAAAGAATCCGCTATTAAATGAGGGATCCCAAAATAGGGAAATGAAATACTAAACCAGGATTTTTAGGGGCAATTTTCAGAGGGCCAGGTATTACTGTGATCAATTCCTGTACTTTTGCAGTGAATGACGGACCTCTATGGACTCCTTGGGCTAAGCCCATCGGAGTCGTTGGGTCCAGCTGACATTCGCAGTGCCTATCGCCGCAGTGCGTTGCAAGCACACCCAGACAAGGGCGGAAGTGAGGACATTGGATGGACATTGTGTTGAGTCATGTGGGACTCACCCAACACCATGTGCTCTACCCAATGACTTACCATTATTGGAGGTTTATAGTATTGGGTGAATCCCACATTAGCCCGTGTTGAGATCAAGGGATATCAAGGGGAAATGTAAAGAAAACCCTCCCTTACATTTGGAAATATCAACCCCATGGCCCACTTGTTTCCTGCATAAATTCACATAACTTGCTGAAGTTGCTGCAGATGCATCTTCAACTAGATTCTTCGTGAAATCGCACCATCAGCCCTGAAGGAGAAATTTCACGCTGTGCTGACTGCCTTCGAGGTTCTCTCATGCAGGTGTGATCGCAGATTGATGCCAGATGCCAAAGGATGATAGATAGCAGTCATCAGTAATTACATCTCTGTACTGAAGAGGGCTAAATGCAGCTGAAGCGCACGACATCATTCAAAAAGGTTCAGAGAGATTGAATGAACCATGGAAATGGGTGTCAAACTAGAACACCGAGTGGGTGATCAACGATTGTGAACCACAGGTTTACAGGGCAAGTGCAAAGGGATATTGGGCCTGTTTTTTTCTTGTTCACCTTATGCAAGACTAGACAAGGTCCGTGCAAATTGAACTCGACAATTGAAAAAAAAAACAAATATTTAAGACATCCAAACTGATTGAAGATCATGTAGCTCAAGAATTTGCAGATATCTGCAGTATCCAATGTAGAGAAAAGAAAGGGACACACAGTGACACACAGTAACACACAGTGACACACAGTGACACACACACACACCCGGACCGCAATTGCACAAACATTGTTCTTCAATGTTCAAATGAGTCTTATGGTTTTGAAAACATGACAGTTTTCACAGGACTGAAACCAATCACCATCGAATCCCAGGGCTTCCAGGGAATCCTACGATTCTGCGCGAAGCCGTGGATTGTCCGCAGCTGATGCATTGGCTATAGCAACAGGTGGGCGGTGGTGCGTCAAAACACATGTGTTTGCTATGTGAATTCAATTGTATAACTGTATAACCATTAAAAGTGGGAATGGTAATAACATTCAATGAAGGGAATATATATATATATAGATATATACAATGGGGATATAATAGGGGTATAATGGGGAGATAATCGGATAAGCTGGTGGTTTTGGGTACTGTATATCGACCATCAAAAACAGGGATTCAACCATCAATCGGGCTAACCAAAAACCATGGGGATCTATGCGTTCGTTCACTCTGTTTCCAGATATCATCTTGAGATTCTGCCATTTGATGCATAACTTACATATATAACTTACATAACCCCAAAGTCTAATGGCTGCTTTTGATATCTTTAGATTTGATGTTCAGTCTGATTGACTTACATTTTGGGTAGCCTTGAAACCGCAGGCTGTACATTTGGTGATTCACGGTGATTCGCTCATCAGGACGCGCGCCGGATCCAGCGACCAAACGCAAAGCTTGGCTCCAAGTGATTTTCCCTGATTTGTTGGTCAAATCCTGATGTCATGGCATTGCAATATATGCTACATGAATCTACATGATCTATTGGTGGTGTACTCCATCTAATATCACACGACTCCTAATTCATCAGTACAGGAATGCATTTTTTTGATTTTTTTTTTGTGATTAAACGTATTAAACCCTCCAATAATTTACGCCACTTCACACAACATCCACCAGACATGGGTGCTGCAATGACTTCTCCCCATGGCTCGTTGATGACCCAGTAGTGTCACTATCCCCCGTTTTTTGATGGCTATCAATGGATGCCAACAGTTTCTTTCTTCATGACCACTTTTGAATGATATCCCGATTATAATATTATATATATATACACACACTATTTGATTTAATTAACATCTCCTTATTCATGGTTCATTATCCCGATTTTTGTTGGTGACCCTTTGATTTTGGTGGTTAAATCCCCTTTTTTTGAATGTTTTTGATTTTTAAATCCCTCTTTGTCATGGTAACGTCCTCATTTTTGACGATTATCTTCTGGCTTCAGTGTGTTCCCCCCATTGTTCCTGCCACGATTCGAAAACCACCCAGTCGAACAGCGCTCCCTTGGAGCGGTTGCGGCTACTCCTGGCCAAGATGGGGCGGGAGCAACGACAGGAGGCGCTGCAAAAGTTGCCTCGCGAGGTGGGAACAGCGGCAGTGGTGGGCTGCCTGACGCAAGACTTGAAGCAAGATGGTTCGGGAGTGGTTTTATATAAACATATTTTTTTAATATTATATAAAGATCATTTAAACATCAGTATCCATCAATCACAAGGATTTAATATCACTTATAACTACATTTAACTAATGAATATAGAGTTGGACACGTTTTTTTTTTCGAAGTTTCCTAACCAAACATGCAGACATGATCAGCAAACATCGGGGGGAATCTATCAATGATTGCGACGTTTCGTCAAAGTGAACAGGTGAGAGACGCACTCGTGTCCTACATGGAGGCGATGGGTCCAAAGCCAAAAGCTTGATCACCAGGATACCAAGCGTACCAAGGTTGTGACCCCATCCCCAAAGGTTAAAGGCTAAGTGCCATTTTTGGGCGAGTCACGGGGTCTGCCACTGGCTGCGCAATGCAGGGTGCTGCCTCATTCAAAGAATCCGCTCCTGCAACTTGGTCTGCAGCCGTAATCACATCACGTGTTACATGTTGCGAGGTGTGATTCTGACCATTATTTTATCATAATTTCTCATCCATTGTGATGTGATATTGACTGATATTGGGGTTACAGAAAATTTGGTGGCCACTGGTGTAGCTTGTTATCCATTCAGAAATCCAGCCCGAGCTTGAGGCTTCGAACGCCACTGCTCGGAATGCAGCCAAAGCGCTGGAAAATGGGGAGGAGCAAACTGGAGGCAGGGCAATGGTGGACCCGCAGAACTGAGCCCGCCGCAGCGTATCATGAACGGCATCCCCCAACCAAGATCAGATTATGTATATATGTGTATTTATAATTATATATGTATATTGATATATTATATTAAATTATATATATATGTATATTATATGCATATTCAACTTATACAGATGGATGTGATTTTAACACTGGAATACATAATTTCTATCGCCGCTTTCTGGACATTCTGCAGATGTCTTTGCAAGCTTCTCGATCAGGCACACGAGGCATTGGGCGTGGAATCTTGCGACAAGCAACATCTCCGCCGACCTATAAAGCCTCCATTTTCCTGCCTTCCTTGCCGCTGGCCCAGCCTCGAGAGTTGCAGCTTTCAGCAACAACATCAAGGTATGGGACGAAGTGCTTACCGAGTAACTGGCAATTTGAAGTGGGAAAATGGTGATGAACAAGTGGGTGTGGGGTAGACGATTTTTGGGGACAAAGAATTTGTGGTAGCCACCCTCGCCTGTGAGGTTTGTCATGTCAAGGCCCAACCCCTCTCTGGAGCGTGTCCAGCACTCAGCTAAGTTGGGCCCCACTGAGCATCATTTTACTTAGCAAGTGATGAATTAAACAAGTGCCACTAAACTGGGCTATCCTAGCAGCTATAGCTCTATTGGAACTTGGAACCACAGTTTCTATCCGATCATCTGTATCATTCTTGGGTGAACATCACCCATGTCACAATGTTGAGTGGGTCCAATGCACACTTTTCGTATCCTACAACCCGACTTACCCACCAATTGATAAACCACTCCCAATATAAGCTACCCCCAGAAGTCCCTGGTTTAGTTGCTACGGACAGGTCTTACAACTTCACTCAGCACTGGTTCGCACACGTGAGCTGGTTGATGCTGGGGAAGACTTCAACAGCGTGCGCTTTCGGCGGGCCTTTGCAGAGGCCAGGAGCTCATGAACTTTTGGGACCGACTTGGAGGAGCCATCTGGAGGTGATTTAGCGGTTGATTTTATAATATTTTATAGGAGCTGCAAAATCTGCACGGGGGCATTTCTTGAGGAACCATCCAAGTTGTGGGGGAGCTATAGTTTTCAGCAACACACATTGAATTGGTGGCAGGAAGTCACGGCAATATCAGGCCAAGGATGAAGATAGGCACCCGCCACTGTGCCAGGCTTGCCGTGAGGCCGAGTTGGATGCAGACAAAGAGCTGCGGAATCTCACCTTTACGGCCATTATCCCGGCTTACTACGAGGCCATGGCTTGTCAAATCAAGATTTTTTAAGCTTAGCAAAAGTGGACACGGGGAAGGGTACTACCTTCCATATTTGCCGAGGAATTCACTTAGACAATCCCTTCCCCTGACATGAAATACAACCTTCAAAAATCCCAAATGGGGAGCCAGTCCTGGGACAACCTGAACCAAGCGCCAGGTGAATCGGCAGATCAAGGGCCGTCAAACGCCAGATCTGGATGCAGCCTTTGCTCTGCGGGAACAGCTCCTAGAGGCGCTCCAAATCGGGGGTAATTTATCCTGTGGCAGTTTGAAACATAGCATCAAACAAATTCAAGAGCAAAAAGGCTTCAAATCTTCTACTGCTTGTTGTCATAGCAAAAAGAGACCGTGTCGGGAGTGAAAAAGAAGCAGAGCCCAAGGGGTGGATGTTTTATTTTTAATTAACATTCTTATGATGGGTATATGGCAGTCTGTTCCAGATTTCACCTGACCCCAATACTCAAAGGTAAAATAAGATATGCCATTTTATGCCATTTACAATAAATATTCTAAATTAATTTCTAAATAATTTATATGAAAAAACTTGATGTTCCCAAGATTGAACCTATAATTGTAAAACAATATGAATTCAAACAAAGCCTTAAACACAAGCAGACAAACTACCATTCAGGTCAATTATTGTTAGTGCCTCACAAGGGGGCAAAGGGATATTAATTCAGAACCTCATTCCAAAAATCTACAGGGGATGCTTTGAGAGAATATACATTGTATCACCGACAGCACACATAGATGAAGCATACAAAGAAGTAATCCGATATATAGAGAAAGAACTAAAAATAGACAACAAAAAAGAGCAATAGTTGTTTGATGAGTATCACCCTGAAAGTCTGGCACACAGTATAGACACACAGCACAAAGTGATAGAATACAAGAAGAAAAATTATAGGACCGGATAACCCCACATGTTACCAACTTCTCTAGACTTAGACTGAGCATAGAAAAGCAACAAGGGAAGAGGAAGTATGACAGTGATGGAGGGGTGATGGTGGGTGAGTTTGTGTGTGTGTGTATGTGCATGCACAGGTGAGTGAGTGAGACTGTGAGTGAGTGATGTGAGTGTGGTGTGTGTGAGTGAGTGAGGGAGAGTGAGCGAGTGAGAGTGAGCGAGTGAGTGAGTGTGAGTGAGTGAGAGTGAGTGGTCCAAGTGCCATAGACCAGCATCATGACCTGAGCAGACAAGTCATGAATAAAGAAGCCATGATAAGCTGACAAGCAATCAATCTGAATGAGCTGAGTTGATACATCGCTGTGCCCTGCTCCTGAAGAGCATGACCTGAGCAGAGCAGAGTGGCGGAGACCAAAGGACGCCAGTGCGTACATCCGACCCCTTGCAGAGCACCAAGTGCTGCGCCTGCCATGCAAAACCTACCGGCAAAGCGGCGGAGACCAAGGGACGCCAGGGCGTACATCCGACCCCTTGCAAAGCAGCAAGTGCTGCACATTTCCTTCCAAGACTGTCATCTCCAGAATTCCCGGAATGCCGCCCGGTGAAATTGGGAGCAGCACCGCATAGAGCGCCCGAGCCGACCCACCAATGCCTGTCGGTGTGGTGACGGGCTTGTCAATTCTCACAGGCTGCAATCCCACCTTCTTGAGCTCCTTGGTCAGATCTTCAAGGGCAGACAGCCCTATGAGATCCTGAGTGGCACCGATGTCCAGGACAGCCTCACCCCCATCCAAGGTCAGAAAGGCCCAACCTCCGTCGCCATGCTGATCATCTCCGTAAAGGACTTGATGGATAGCTTGTCGGACCTCCATCACTGACAAGAAAGTAAAAGCTGATCTCGACACATCAGCGCTGGCACTGCAGTAGGCAAAAGCTGTAGCTCCACCAGCGCCCTTCTTGGACGGACATTCAGCCGCCCAGTGTCCTTTCTTCTGGCAAAGACGACACCTGGAGATCTTCAACTGATCACGATTGAACCCCTGGCGGGAAGGATTTCTGCCAGCTACGCCTCCAGCAGGGGGCCCTCCAGCTTGACCACGGGGATAGCCATTGGTGCCATCCTTGATGAAGCTGCCTCGGTCTTTTCGAATGTCCGCTTTGAAGAGCTTGTTCTCCTTCCATGATCTCTTGCGCTCCAAGACGGCGAAAACCTCACAAATCTGGTCCTCGTTCAACTCCATCTTACCGGCAAAGCGGCGGAGACCAAGGGACGCCAGGGCGTACATCCGACCCCTTGCAGAGCAGCAAGTGCTGCGCCTGCCACGCAAAAGGTATACTGGCAGAGCGGCGGAGACCAAGGGACGCTAGACGTACATCCGACCCCTTGCAGAGCAGCAAGTGCTGCGCCTGCCACGCAAAAAGCAGCGGAGACCAAGGGACGCCAGGGCGTACATCCGACCCCTTACAGAGCAGCAAGTGCTGCGCCTGCCACGCAAAAGCCACCGGAGACCAAGGGACGCCAGGGCGTACATCCGACCCCTTGCAGAGCAGCAAGTGCTGCGCCTGCCACGCAAAAGCTACCGGCAGAGCGGCGGAGACCAAGGGACGCTAGGCGTACATCCGACCCCTTGCAGAGCAGCAAGCGCTGTGCCCGCCACGCAAAAGTTACCGGCAGAGCGGCGGAGACCAAGGGACGCCAAGTCGTACATCCGACCCCTTGCAGAGCAGCAAGTGCTGCGCCTGCCACGCAAAAAGCAGCGGAGACCAAGGGACGCCAAGTCGTACATCCGACCCCTTGCAGAGTAGCAAGTGCTGCGCCTGCCACGCAAAAAAGCAACGGAGACCAAGGGACGCCAGGGCGTACATCCGACCCCTTGCAGAGCACCAAGTGCCGCGCTTGCCATGCAAAAGCTACCCGCAGAGCGGCGGAGACCAAGGGACGCCAGGGCGTACATCCGACCCCTTGCAGAGCAGCAAGTGCTGCGCCTGCCACGCAAAACCTACCGGCAGAGCGGCGGAGACCAAGGGACGCCAGGGCGTACATCCGACCCCTTGCAGAGCAGCAAGTGCTGCGCCTGCCATGCAAAAAGCAGCGGAGACCAAGGGACGCCAGGGCGTACATCCGACCCCTTGCAGAGCACCAAGTGCGGCGCCTGCCACGCAAAACCTACCGGCAAAGCGGCGGAGACCAAGGGACGCCAGGGCGTACATCCGACCCCTTGCAGAGCAGCAAGTGTTGCGCCTGCCACGCAAAAGTTACCGGCAGAGCGGCGGAGACCAAGGGACGCCAAGTCGTACATCCGACCCCTTGCAGAGCAGCAAGTGCTGCGCCTGCCACGCAAAAAGCAACGGAGACCAAGGGACGCCAGGGCGTACATCCGACCCCTTGCAGAGCAGCAAATGCTGCGCCTGCCACGCAAAAGCTACCGGCAGAGCGGCGGAGACCAAGGGACGCCAGGGCGTACATCCGACCCCTTGCAGAGCAGCAAGTGCTGCGCCTGCCACGCAAAAAGCACCGGAGACCAAGGGACGCCAGGGCGTACATCCGACCCCTTGCAGAGCACCAAGTGCCGCGCCTGCCACGCAAAAGAATGTGATTGAGGGTGAGTGTGTGAGTGAGTGTGAGTGAGAGTGAGTGAGTGAGGGTGAGTGAGTGAGTGAGTGAGAGTGAGTGAGTGAGGGTGAGTGAGTGGGTGAGTGAGAGTGAGTGAGAGTGAGTGAGAGTGAGTGAGAGTGAGTGAGAGTGAGTGAGAGTGAGTGAGAGTGAGTGTGAGAGTGAGAGTGAGAGTGAGAGTGAGAGTGAGAATGTGAGTGTGAGTGAGAGTGAGAGTGAGAGTGAGAGTGAGAGTGTGAGTGTGAGTGTGAGTGTGAGTGTGAGTGTGAGTGTGAGTGTGAGTGTGAGTGAGAGTGAGAGTGAGAGTGAGAGTGAGAGTGAGAGTGAGAGTGAGTGAGTGAGTGAGAGAGAGTGAGTGTGTGTGAGTGAGGGTGAGTGAGTGAGTGAGTGAGGGTGAGTGAGTGAGTGAGCAGTGAGTGAGTGAGTGAGAGTGAGTGAGTGAGTGAGTGAGGGTGAGTAAGTGAGTGAGTGAGTGAGAGTCAGTGGTCCAAGTGCCATAGACCAGCATCATGACCTGAGCAGACAAGTCATGAATAAAGAAGCCATGATAAGCTGACAAGCAATCAATCTGAATGAGCTGAGTTGATACATCGCCGTGCCCTGCTCCTGAAGAGCGTGACCTGAGCAGAGCAGAGTGGCGGAGACCAAAGGACGCCAGTGCGTACATCCGACCCCTTGCAGAGCACCAAGTGCTGCGCCTGCCATGCAAAACCTACCGGCAAAGCGGCGGAGACCAAGGGACGCCAGGGCGTACATCCGACCCCTTGCAGAGCAGCAAGTGCTGCGCCTGCCACGCAAAAAGCAGCGGAGACCAAGGGACGCCAGGGCGTACATCCGACCCCTTGCAGAGCAGCAAGTGTTGCGCCTGCCACGCAAAAGCTACCGGCAGAGCGGCCGAGACCAAGGGACGCTAGGGCGTACATCCGACCCCTTGCAGAGCAGCAAGTGCTGCGCCTGCCACGCAAAAGCAGCGGAGACCAAGGGACGCCCGGGCGTACATCCGACCCCTTGCAGAGCACCAAGTGCAGCGCCTGCCACGCAAAGCAAAAGTTACCGGCAGAGCGGCGGAGACCAAGGGACGCCAGGGCGTACATCCGACCCCTTGCAGAGCAGCAAGTGCTGCACCTGCCATGCAAAAAGCAGCAGAGACCAAGGGACGCCAGGGCATACATCCGACCCCTTGCAGGAACAGCAAGTGCTGCGCCTGCCACGCAAAAGCTACCGGCAGAGCGGCGGAGACCAAGGGACGCTAGGGCGTACATCCGACCCCTTGCAGAGCAGCAAGTGCTGCGCCCGCCGCGCAAAAAGCAGCGGAGACCAAGGGACGCCAGGGCGTACATCCGACCCCTTGCAGAGCACCAAGTGCCGCGCCTGCCACACAAAAGAATGTGAGTGAGGGTGAGTGTGTGAGTGAGTGTGAGTGAGAGTGAGTGAGTGAGGGTGAGTGAGTGAGTGAGAGTGAGTGAGTGAGGGTGAGTGAGTGAGTGAGAGTGAGTGAGAGTGAGTGAGAGTGAGTGAGAGTGAGTGAGAGTGAGTGAGAGTGAGTGTGAGAGTGAGAGTGAGAGTGTGAGTGTGAGTGAGAGTGAGAGTGAGAGTGTGAGTGTGAAAGAGCAATTACAGAGAAAGAAAGAACTTCCCACTGGCTGAAAGGCTGTTATGTTGTGCAAGAGATTGCAGAAAAGTTGAACCCAAAATACTACAAATTAACTGATTACCCAAGATTGTTGATGAGGCACGAACTTTTCAAGATTTAGTGTTTTTAGAAAGCCTTGTAAGCATTTTTTCCCATCAGATGGTTGATTTTATGTGCTCTTTTGGTTTCGGGGTTTTGTGTTTTGCCCTTCA